CCTGTCCACTTCTGGAGTTTGGGAGTCACCTGTAGTTGAAAAGCCAGGGACAGGAGCCTTGCTAGAAGAAAATGTGGCAACCCTAAAAGGAAGGCTTGCCAAACAGTTTTTATTGTCAGGCCCACAGCTGCTGCGTCAGGGTTTCTGAAGCAATAATCCTAATGAGAAGGGGGCTTCAGCCCATGCTGACCCTATCAGATCAGATGAACGACCCACTGGATGGGGTGGAAGAGAATGTCTCTACCTTTCCCCAGCGTGCTCTTCGGTCATTTTTGTGCTACAGAGCTGAAACAGAAGGGAGGGAAGCCATCACGCTGGAGCAGCCTATAGCTACACTCTAGATAAGTGTTGCACATGATTCAGCCATTCCCTTTGTAATTTCCTAATTGAATTTTTGGCCCTTGCCTGTCCTGCCAATGGATAAAAGGCAGCCATTTCTCTTGATTAAATTGCAAAGAACAGAAAGAACAAAGTGTTGGCGGGGGGATGATTCCCAGGGCTATTTGAATCCCTATATGCTGAGATCCCTGATTCTGTTCACAGGAGAAATTTAGGCATAAAAATGTGAATTCATGCTGCTAAATTCTGAAAACTGTCCCAGAGTGTTGGCATGAAGTGTTCGGTCTCCATCAGTAATGACTGGGTGCAACTCCAGGCTTGCAAACACATTCTAAATCTAGACTTATAATCTTATGGTCAAGGTTATCCAGTGCTTTTCTTCTAGGAGAAAAAGGTGCCAGTACTACATACCCTTGAGGACCCCCAGGAAAAAAAACACGGAGGTTATCTATACTGGGATATCCTAAAAACAGCAGCAGCAGTAGTAACTGCAGTGATATGTTTTTAGGTGCTTGAAGTCTTGCTAACAGAAGACTGGCTAAAGCCACTTAGAGCAAAGGTGGGTAAGCTATATGCAACATCTGCTTTTTATCTGGCCCCTGAGCTGTCCGGGACTGGATCCCTGTTATCCCAGATGTGGCGATTTGGATGTTTCTAGACATGCTAGGCCAAAAGAAGCAGCTGTGTTGCTAAGGCCCTGTTAAGTGAGAAACAGGAATGCCTTATGAGGCTAGTTGCCTCCTGTAGGATTGCACAGCTCTTGCAATTGCTCCACATCTGGAAACCTCTGGGAGCTTCCTGACAGGTGTTTATTGTGGGGTAGGGGGAAGCCATACACTTTAAATGTATGGTGTGTATGCAGCCCCAGTTCCAACAACCAAAGTGGATCATTCTAGGTTGGGAATGTAATGTGACCTGCAGGTTGAAAAGACACTTGATTACCGGTAAACCATGATATATTTTAGTAGCAAACTCAGTTCTCTCAGTGCCAGCCCTTATGTAGCCCAAACCACACAATGCCTACACATGAGGGAGATATCAGTAGGCTTGGCACAGGCCCAAGGTTTGCAGAAGTACAAAAACAATTTAGGGGGGAAACCTAAAAGAGGTGGGGATGGCAAAACAAGTCAATGAGCATGTCCAGTGGGTATCAGATGTTGTCTGACTGTTGGCAGGAAAAACAGAAATGGGTGGAATGGAGTAAATGGAAACCTAAGCAGGAGTACTCCTTACTGTAACATTTTGTTGCAGGACCCATTTGTAACTCATAAATAGTAATGCATGCTAAGACTGTTGCAAAGCTTCATGGTTTTGTGTAATATAGAGAACTATAACCTGAGATGCAGAAATGCAAAAGACAGAGCTAATGTTACCTGAAATATTAGGAAAACTTTTAAATGATTTTTTCACCTAATACTGATTTTAAAAAATCTCTCACCCCCTCCTCTTCCTCCGTGGCATCTGATTTTAACTTGGGAGCATTAGCCTGCCAAATAATTTCCATGTTGCAAACTCTGAGACAGACTTCTCAGATTACAGACAGTACTCTTATTTGCTATACTACACCACTCAGACCAATTGGTCAGACCAAGTTACCTTGACAGCTCTACTCTGAAGCAACTGTGCTCTAAATTGTGCTTTTCAAAAAGTAAAGATTAAATTCAGTAAAGTCTGTACATTGTATAAACCTAGATGATAATAAGAAGATGCACCCAAATCCATGGAAGCAGGCTTCTGCAAGTGAACCACCTTTTGAATATGTCCTGCATGTATAGTAATGCATTGTACAAGTGCTGTTGCTGGATTTCCGTGTCCAGGGCCCAGGTCTGCACGAGTGGCTCCCTTTGCTGAATTGGGATCATAGGCTCAAAAAAGCAGATAGCAAGGCCAGCTCTGATAGTGCCAATTGCTTCATTTTGGGGGGTAGGGGGCTACATCTAGAACAGGTGACCAATGCTTTCAAAACTGGCAGCATCAAACCATCTCCCAAGTGACCATGTACAGCCAGATCTTTATGCAAAGCCCAATTCTACACACAAGCCTCTTTGGAATGTGGGCACAATATTTTCCTAATGGTTAGTAGGAAATGGTCTTTAATAGACTACAGAGCATCAGGACTGTGGTGGTTCAGAACATCAAAAGAAAAATTCTACTGACACATCCCTGCAGTACTAGGAGTTCTTTTTGAAAGTCTGTCCCCAGTGTGATGGCCAGGCCAGACGCTGCTTGGCTGATAGAGTCTAATGTGATCACAGCAGGAGCTGCTTAGGCTTCAAGGCCATGTCATTTCAATTAGAAAGGTGAAAAATAAAACATTTGTGTGACTAGGGTGACCATAGCAAACCACAGAAATGGTGCCTGCTTCACAGGCACACTAAATTAAGAGAAGTTACAATTTATCCTCAAATTAATAGTAAACATATTTCTCTAGAATAATTCAGAACCAGCAAAGCGGCTGTTAAAGGATCACATGTTTTGGATTTAGTATTGTTGACAGTTGACAGTATTGTCGACAGAATTCCTGCGATAGTTTAGAAAGTCTGGACAACAATAGTTGTGGCTAGACAATGGGGACAGAATATTGCCAGCACATAACTCAGGTGCTCAAAAGTTTGCACTGGTTTGCACCTTACACTACTGGGTCAGGTTAAAAGTTATTATATTAATTTACAAGGCCCTTAACAACTTAGGTCCAGGGTACCTTAAGGATGGCCTGATCCCTTATATCCCTGCTTGATCACCAAGGGCTTTGGCAGAGTAATTGTTAGTGGTTCTCCACAGCTTGGATGCATAGTTTGCATCAGCAAGGAGCTGATGCAAAGAGCCAGTGTGGTGTAGTGGTTAAGAGTGGTAGATTTGTAATCTTGGGAACCAGGTTTGCGTCTCCGCTCCTCCACATGCAGCTGCTGACCTTGGGCTAGTCACATTTCTCTGAAGTCTCCCAGCCCCACTCACTTCACAGAGTGTTTGTTGTGGGGGAGGAAGGGAAAGGAGAATGTTAGCCATTTTGAGACTCCTTCGGGTAGTGATAAAGCGGGATATCAAATCCAAACCCTTCTTCTTCTACTGTTGAAATGAATCCTTTATATAGTTTGCATGGTTTGGCAGTGCTTGTTTTAAAGGAATTCACTAGTGGAGAATGAATGCAAAAGGGAACATTTTGCCTATGCAAAAAAGCACGTTTAATCTTTAATAAAATACAATTATATAATAAAGCAACACTATAATAATATATGTGATTTTGGGTGCTTTCTAATGGGAATATTATAAATTGGTTGTTAAGATCGCACAAAAGGGTAAATGGCAGCATATTTTTTTTAACTGGAAAGGGTAAATGTGGATTAAAGGGATGGGAATATAAATGTTTCAATGTTAGCTCCACTGTGTAGACACTAACAAATCTGCATACATGAAGAGCACTCATCTCACATTAAACACTTGCATGGAATTAAGCACTAACATTTAGCATTCTTCTCCATTCAGCTTTTACACCACTAGTAATTATTAGAACAGCCCTAATCTGAGTACTTTTTGCTTTCTGTTATTTCTGCCTGTTTACAGACAGCATAGGTATTCCCCCTGCCCCCATTCTTAATAGTCTCACACAATCTCATTTCTGGGATATAAATTATATAAAAGGTAAATATGATTGTGCATGATGCGCAAAAGGTGGACAGAGCAAAGTTTCTCTCTCACACATTATACTAGAAGGGGCCTTCCAATGAAGCTAAATATTGAAATACTCAGGTCAAACAAAAATAACTACTGCTCACAGCAAATGGCTAAACTATAATCTCACTCCCAGTACTCAGTGGACTACTGTGTCAGAGGTAGCATGCCTCTGACAAATATATTGTTGGGCAACACAAGTGGGGATAATGTTATTGCACCCTGGTCCTCCTTGAGGCCTTGCCATGAGCATCTATATGTGTATAGATTAAATTTTATCAATGTTTAATTGCTTTTTAGATTTCCCCCTACGTTTTCAGCAGTTCATTTTTTTATCTGTAAGCCACCTTGAGTCCCATCAAGGAAAAAGGCAGGGCATAAACAAATATATAATCATAATAATCTAGCTCGCCACTGTAAGAACAGAGTGCTAGATGGGCCTTTGACCTGACCTAGAAGGGCTCCCACTAGGGGGAAGAATATGTAGTTATTTCAATTACTCAGACTTAGTATCCACAAGGTATAGCTTGCGGGCTGAGAGAACAGCAAATCCAAGAGGCGACAGGATTTGTTTAGTCGAAAGCTGCAGTCTGATGTACTTGCCCCGGAGAAATACCTATTGATCGCATCGAACTGAGCCACATATGTCACATTAAGCGTCTCGACAACTCTCTCCCTCATCCTACCCCTCGTCAACTCACTGACGCCATAAACCACGAGAGCAAGTCGTGAAGCATTCTGGGAAATGTAGTCGCGTTCGCGCCGCTGTCTATTTGATCGCGCTCGGCCCTTCGCGACAGAAAACACTACATTTCCCGGTCGTCCTTGTGCAAAAACATCCCTCTTCATGGCTCTCGGTTTTTCCTGTACCGCGTTGCATGTTGGTACCGGTAGTCTTTTAATCACCGGGATCCCTATTCTACAAGACCTGACTTCCTGGGCGGAGGATACTACATTTACCGTGTGCCTCAGCCCGCCGCGCTTGCGCCGTGTGCATGGAAGGAGGGGAGGGGAAAGGCCGTTACGTTGCGGGCAACGGCCAGGGCAGTGAAGCGGCAGTCAGTGTTGGTGCCGGAGGCTTCCGCGTTCACTGTTGGGGCTGGTGCGCCGCGTCAGGACGAAGGGCGGCTTCTGTCAGGCTCTGTCCGTTACGGTGGGGAGGGGAGAGGGGGCATGAAGCTGTGAGGGGCCGCGAGCCGAAGGGAGCGGGGAAGGAGCGCGGCCGCAGGCAGGCGAGAGGAAGAGGAGGAGGAGGCGCGGAGCGATGTCTCAGCCGCCTCAGCAACATCCGCCTCAGCAGGAGCAGCAGCCGGTGGCCGCGCCGGTCTCGAAGAAGAGGGACCGGAGGATCTTCTCGGGGACTTGCCCGGATCCCAAGTGCCAGGCGCGGCTGTTCTTCCCGGCGCACGGGCCTCTGAGCAGCGGGAGCATCGAGTGCACGGACTGCGGGCAGCGCCATGAGCAGCGGCAACTGCTGGCGGTGGAGGAGGTGACGGACCCGGACTTGGTGCTGCACAACTTGCTGCGGAACGCGCTGCTGGGGGTGAGCGGGGCGGGGCCCCCCAGGAAGAACACCGAGTTGGTGAAAGTCATGGGCCTGTCCAACTACCACTGCAAGCTGCTGTCTCCCATCTTGGCCCGCTATGGCATGGACAAGCAGACGGGCAAGGCCAAGCTCCTGACCGAGATGAACCAGGGGGATATCTTTGACTGCGCTCTTCTGGGCGACCGTGCCTTCCTCATTGAGCCTGAGCATGTCGACACGGTAGGGTATGGCAAAGACCGCTCCGGCAGCCTTCTCTACTTGCACGACACCTTGGAGGATATCAAGAAGGCCAACAACAGCCAGGAGTGCCTCATCCCGGTCCACGTGGATGGGGATGGCCATTGCTTGGTGCACGCGATCTCCCGGGCGCTGGTGGGCAGGGAGCTGTTCTGGCACGCTTTGCGGGAGAATCTCAAGAAGCACTTTAGGGAGAATCTCAGCCGCTACAAAGCTCTCTTTCACGACTTCATTGATGCGGCAGAATGGGAAGACATCATAAACGAATGTGATCCTTTGTTTGTTCCCCCAGAGGGTGTACCAATGGGCCTTCGAAACATCCACATATTTGGATTGGCCAATGTGCTGCACCGGCCCATCATCCTCTTGGATTCCCTGAGCGGAATGCGTAGTTCAGGAGACTACTCTGCCACTTTTCTACCTGGATTGATACCAGAAGAAAAATGCATGGGAAAAGATGGCATGTTGAACAAACCTCTCTGTATTGCCTGGAGTAGTTCTGGCCGTAACCATTATATTCCTCTGGTTGGGATAAAAGGTGCTGCTTTGCCTCAATTGCCTATGAAATTACTTCCTAAAGCTTGGGGAGTACCTCAGGACCTTATTAAAAAATACATCAAATTGGAAGATGATGGTAGTTGTGTGATTGGGGGTGACAGAAGTTTGCAAGACAAATATTTGATGAGGTTGGTTGCTGCCATGGAAGAGGTTTTCATGGATAAGCATGGCATTCATCCCAGTTTAGTAGCTGATGTACACCAGTATTTCTATAGAAGGACTGGTGTAATAGGAGTTCAGCCTGAAGATGTCACAGCAGCTGCTAAAAAGGCAGTGGTGGACAACCGCCTTCACAAGTGTCTCATTTGTGGTGCCCTTTCAGAACTTCATGTTGCTCCTGAGTGGTTGGCACCTGGAGGGAAACTGTATAATTTGGCAAAAAGTACCCATGGCCAGCTAAGGCCTGATAAAAATTATAGTTTCCCTCTTAACAATTTGGTATGTGCCTATAATCCAGTTAAGGATGTACTTGTACCTGATTATAACTTGAGTAATTTGACTGTCTGTAACTGGTGCCATGGAACATTGGTGCGCCGTGTCAGAAATGATGGTTCTGTTGTGTATTTGGATGGGGACAGAACTAATACCAGATCGACAGGTGGTAAATGTGGTTGTGGATTCAAGCATTATTGGGAAGATAAGGAGTATGACAATCTCCCTGAAGCTTTCCCAATTACTCTAGAGTGGGGTGGGAGAGTGGTGAGAGAGACAGTATACTGGTTTCAGTATGAAAGTGATCCTTCTCTAAACAGCAATGTGTACGATGTTGCAATGAAACTTGTTACCAAGCATTTTCCTGGAGAATTTGGCAGTGAGATTCTTGTCCAGAAAGTTGTCAATACCATTCTACATCAAACAGCCAAAAAGAACCCTGATGATTATACGCCTGTAAACATTGATGGTGCTCATGCCCGAAGAGTTGATGATGTGCAGCAAGGACAAGACTTGGAATCTCAACTTCCAACCAAAATAATTCTTACTGGTCAGAAAACAAAAACATTGCACAGGGAAGAGCTAAATATGAGTAAAACTGAAAGAACTATTCAGCAAAACATTGCAGAACAGGCACCTATAATGCAGAAACGCAAAACAGAAAAATTGAAACAAGCACAAAAAGTGCCACCTAGAACATCTTCCCCAGGTTCTGTTCCTGATGGGCCATCTTCTGCACCTGCTACACCTACAAAGACTCCTTATTCCCCAACATCTACAAAAGAGAAGAAAATACGCATAACAACAAATGATGGGCGGCAGGCCATGCTCACTTTGAAATCCACAACCACATTTCTAGAACTGCAAGAAAGCATCGCTAGAGAATTTAATATTCCTCCCCATTTGCAATGTATTCGAGTTGGCTTTCCTCCCAAAGAGCTTTTGCCACCCAAAGAAGGGCAGGAAAATGAACCTGTTCCTCTACTGCATGGTGACAGAGTAACTATAGAGATTCTCAAAGGCAAGGAGGAGAGCAGCCAGACAGCTTCAGTTCACTCGGCCCATGCTGTGAAACTTGATGATGCTGCTGTTACTAGTAAAATTGCTTCCAAGGAAATCCAAGAACAAATCGACAAGGAAATGTACTCTCTGTGTCTTCTAGCAACATTTATGGGTAAGGAAAAAACTTATTTTCACTTTTCAAAGAGTAGAGATATGTTTAACTCTGAATTTTATAAAGCTAGAAATTCATACATGATCTGACCAACTATTAGATAAATACAAGTTGGTGTCATAATTCATAGAATCATAGAGTTAGAAAGGATCCCAAGGGTCATCTAGCCCAACCCCCTGCAATGGAGGAATCTTAACACACGGTCAGTCCTCTAATTTGAAGCCATACCAAACCCTGCTAAGCTTTGGAAATGTGCTAGTAGTTTTATTGCTGCACAACTGTTCCTACTTTTAAAAATAATGAAATTACTTATAAAAAAAAAAGTACCTGTAACTACTGTTTCAGCCAGGGGTGAGAACTTGTGGCCCTCTAGACTTGCCTCTGCCAAAGTGGCCAGTGATGGGAATGATAGTACAGCAACATTTAGAAAACAGCAGATTCCCCAACCTTGGTTTATACTTTTAGGGGCATTTGAAAGCCACTTTTCTCATCTCCCAGCTTTATCTTATGTCTTCATTTGTGCAATGTTGTGCTCTGATAAATGGACTTTTCTCAGTATTCCTAATTTTTCCCCATGAATAAATTTAATATTCTAGTAACTAGCTAGAGTTTTTGTGTGTCAGGATTCTCACTTGCTTCCTCATTTGCTTACTTTGCTATAAATACTATACTTAAAGCATATATATGAAGCTGTGAAATATTTACTGCAACACCTCATCTTACTGTCTTAATTTAAAGCATAACAGGGTTTTGGTGAAGTAAAACAAACTTAAAAGCAGAACTGCTTGTCCAGAGAGTATATATAATATATGTATTTCTGCTACTCAGCCAGATCTATGGAAGGTTATATTTTAAGAAACCTTTTAAACCAAATTAATTGGCAGTGTTGCAAATAAAATCAACTTATTGCAGTCTTTGCCATTAACTTGCAGGGTGCATGACATCAAAAGTATTGCTTGGTTTCCAGTCAGCTGAGGCATTTTTTTAAACAGCCCCCCCCCATATAAAACTCTGGTGATAATTGCAGAATGGCGTAACATTTGCACAGTGTCATGAATGTTTTTGGCACTCGCAGTTGCATTATCTGTGCTGCTTTGAAAATTAGGCTTGTGTGTTAAGGCACTAAAAATAAAATGATGGAAATGACTGTTCAAAAGAAAATGGAAGTTTCTGTGTGTAATTTTATGAACCAAAAGCTTAATAGTGAATTCATGGAAACGAAACTGGGTAGAAACTATGAAACAAAAGTGAAACTGGCAACTTTACTTCTTTTAACTAAGAACAAACCTTATGAAGTGTTGTGGTCATATGACTTTTGTTATTCAGAGAAAAATATCTCTTCAGCTGTAACCATTTCTTAACAACCACGTCTTTCCTAGTAGTTCTTGTTCTCATCTGAGTATGAAGTATAAAGGTAGTACTGTATCTAAAAGAGATTGTGGCTGCATGCATGTCAGGAAGCCTTTTAAGAAAAGAATACAGTGGTACCTCAGTTTAAGAACAGTCCTGTTTACGAATGATTTGGTTTACGAACTCCGCAAAACCAGAAGTAGTATCCTGGTTTGTGAACTTTACCCCTGTCTAAGAACGGAATCCGAACGGTGGAAGGACACTGGCGGCAGGAGGCCTCATTACGGAAAGCGCGCCTCCGTTTAAGAACGGTTTTAGTTTAAGAACGGACTTCCAGAACGGTTTAAGTTCATAAACCGAGGTACCACTGTATTTAGTACTGGGAAAAAAGTCTGAAACAAAACTGTGGGTTACCTCATGTTCATGCAAGGGGGCTGGTTGGGAGGAAACATTGCATGGCAGAAAGGAGATGGGAAGGTAGGCGTTTTAGGATTAAACAAGACAAGCACACATACTGTGTGAAGAGTAGTCAGGGTGAAGTTGGAACCTTTGTAGCAATTGCCTATTATTTCTATGGAAGAACTGTCTCATACTTGGAGGACTGTAACCTTGTTCAAACAAGCATGAATTGTTATTATGAAAAAATGCTCGCTTGACCCTTGGAACTGCATTCTTCAACTCCCCTCCCTCTGCATGCAAAGAGGAGATTAAAAGTTTTCCCTTTTGAATTAACAACAGTTCCTCATAGTGTCCAAACAGAACAAGTCATGGTTCTCTATCTGTGATTGGCTAAAACAAATAGGATATCAAACCACTTCTTAAAATCCTGGTTTATTAACTGCTACAGTTAGAACAAGCCCCGGTTCTGAGAGTTAAGTTAATGTAGCTTGAGTTTTCTATTAAGATATATTGGCAGAGTACTATTCTCTTTCATTGATGCTTAAAATCAAGGTTGTCTTGTATTCCTCCAAGTACCCAAGTACTCCTATACATTCAGTAAAATGTGTGTAACTAAATGCTGTGTTGCTAATACTTTGTCATGTATGAAATGGCCCTTAGGTTCCCAGGGAAACTAAAAGAGTGACTCCCATTGAGATGTGATGACCGGGGAAGGGAGGCGGGAACCAGGGGAAGAGACTATTCCCCCCCTTCTTTCTCTGGACCTTCATATCTCTAGCATGCTTTCCATTTGCCTTCATTGTAATATTGCAAGTGGGACCTGAAAACTTTATCTTTAAATAAAATTTTGTGTGTCTTCACATGTTACAGTATAGCTGAAGTATCACCATCCTGACTCCTCTAGAAGATGGTAGAACTCAACTGCGGTCTTGATTTCTTGGTTATGCTAGAATGTGGTAGAAAGTTGGAAGACATGCTGGGAACAGGCATTTGTATTTATATATAAATGAAGTTCATATTTTCCCACCAATTATAATTATGCTAGTTAACTAACCCTTTTTTTCTGTTCCACAGGAGAAGATGTCTGGTCTTATGCAAAAGGACTTCCTCACTTGTTCCATCAGGGTGGTGTGTTCTACAATATAATGAAGAAAACAATGGGTATGATTTCTAACTATGTGCTTGTGTATATCATGGTTTTTAAGAGAAAATTATTGCGAAGCTTTAATTTCGTGTACATATGTATACATATAGTGGGGAGGGTGTTGCAACCATGCCATGTGTACCCCAAACGAGAAGGCAAATCAGGGTGAGACTCTGTCTGTTCAGGGCAGACTCTGTTGTTCCCTAGTTTGATTTTGCCATTAACAAGTTGTGTCAGGGCAGATCAGGGAGTTCTCATACTGCAAGTAGCTCTGTTACTTTCGTTTTTCCAGAAAGTTCAATACCATGCACAACATCTCCTTTGTTGTTTTCTTTTCTCAAAATCGAAACCAAACTGACTGAGGAAACACCCAGAGCTCAAGAGGGGAGATATGGAGAGGTGGGCGGATCTTCTGTTTTGTCGGGCAAGTCTAGCTTTTAATCACAATTTCACTCCCTCAAAAGGAGAGAACATACATACAATTTGTATGCAATTCTGCTAGAAAATAAAACACTTCCTCTTAAAAAACCTCAACAACTTAAATGTTTCCTGGCACGAAGTCCACTGGTTGGGTCTGCCTGAACTTTGGCAAGCTTAATCCACTCTGGATGAGCTCCTTTGCCACTTATATGAAAAGGGGGAAAATATAGCTATTTTTTAAATTCCCCTTTATAGTTATGGGAATAAAACAGTTTCAGGTTTAACAGATCAGATTCAACCTGAATAGCAAATCAAATCAGAATGACACAGAGCAGCTCAAACAGAGGAGGATGTTTTAGAATGCTACAGATACAAAGCCATTGATGTGGTTGCGGCACACACTTGCTATAGTAGAGAGAAATGTATAATGCTTCAGGCTTTAAAGGAAATTGACAGAGTGGGTAAAGGTCTGTAAGGACTTCTAAATTAGTGGTACTGTTGTCACAATAGTTTTTCTTGTCATCTTGAACTAAATTGTGTGCACGCTCATTTTCTTGATTGAGGAACAAAATCTGTGTTATAAGCCAAAGTCAAGAACTGAAAAGGAGAATGTGATACAATTAGTCTTGAAACATAGAGCTTCAATCTAACTAGCTGCATTTGCTGGTCTCATTGTGCAGCAGGTCATTCCACTCCACCCTTTTACTTCTGTAGTTCAGAGAACTTTCCAGAACGACATACAGTGGCTCAGTTTGCACATCACATTAAGTTAAACCATTGTTTATTTTAAACTATAATGTGAATGAGCAGAATTCCCAGGGCACTTCTCACCTGCTGCTGCTGTGCCACTGACAAAACAATCCAGAGCCTAGCTTGTCATGTCTTCTGAACATGGGCTCATGGTTTGTTTGCTCCAAACAAAACACAAGTGGTAACCCAAGGTTTATTTTTAGGTTACTACATGTGTTTTGTTTGAAAGAAACAATCTCAGACTTGAGTTCAGAGGATACAAAAAGGCAGGATCTCGATTGTTTTGTCTGCAGCACAGCTATGGAGAAAGACTGCTGCAGGAATTTTTTATCACTATGCACCAGTCCAATGCTTGTTCACCTTACAGTTTAAAGTCTTTGTTTATATTATGCTTTTCCTTTCATCAAGTCAGAGTTGTGACAAAGCCTCAGAATTCATTCTCTGTGTGTATCCACCCCTTTCCACTGCCTTTTATTTTATTTTTTATTTCCCCCCAAGCCCATAAAGCTGAACACGCATAAATTGCAGGCTTACTGTACAATGTAATATGTTAATCAGAGTGCATGCCTATTACACATATGCAGACACACTTTTGAGGCTGTAATTACCACATGAGTTCAGCGTTTTCTCTGCCCTCAAATTGATCATTTTGTTTTCTATACAAGTTTAATAATAATAATAATAATAATAATAATAATAATAATAAATTTTATTTATATCCCTCCCTCCCCAGCTGAAGCCAGGCTCAGAGCGGCTAACAACAGTAAAGATGTTAGAATCCTTTCAGTGTTCCATCTTTTCTGCCAAGCTTGACATAGCGTACCTTGAATGAGAACAGGATTGCTTTATTGTTGAAAAAAACATTAGATAATTATCTTTGTTCTGACAACTTGTCCCAGTCTGCACTATGACATCTAAAAGTTCATTAAAAGATGCTAATAATAGTCAGTGCCCACTGATTTCCGTTTCGTTTCAGTATTGGCAATTGTACACCTCTAAGCCACTCTCCTTCTTTCTGGTTTTCTACTTTCCTGTGTGCTTTATATCAGGGGTGGACAAATGGAACCTGCCCACCCTCCATATGTCATTTTGATAGGTGGGTGGACGTCCAACCTGTCAATCACCTGATGCCATAGGATGTCAGGTGATTCAAACTTCCAGCTTCAAGCAGAATCTTATCTCCAGTCTTTGTGCTGTGGTCCAATAGTGTTAAGATCAGAGATAATTTATTATTAAATTTATTATATTTCTCTGCTGCTTTTTACTCACACATCACAAAGTGGCTTACATACAATAAATAGCAATAACATAATAGAACATCACAATTAAAACATAAATCATATAAAATAATTAACAAATCATGAGTAAAAGCAACCATCTTCTATAAAACGCTATTAACAGAACAACTTTAAAAATAGACACAAGCACAACCACAAGATAAAAAAAATGTGTCTGCACTTTGACAATTTACTATAAAAAGCAGGCAAAGGTTTATCTTCAATCTTAGTACTAAGCATCACAGTGTTAGGATCTAGGCTTGGAGATAACAAATCTTGCTATTTGATGTCATATACCAACTGACTGACAGTTGGGTGTGGTTTGCCTAAAATGGCCTTGCAGGCCACATTCAAGGGCCTGGCAAGCCTAGTTAAGCCCATGGGCCAGCAGTTCTTCACTGCTGTTAACAGTGTTTCTACCAAATTCTGCCTCCTGCCAACCTAGCAGTTTGAAAGCACGTCAAAGTGCAAGTAGATAAATAGGTACTGCTCCAGTGGGAAGGTAAACGGCGTTTCCGTGCGCTGCTCTGGTTTGCCAGAAGCAGCTTAGTCATGCTGGCCACATGACCCGGAAGCTGTACACTGGCTCCCTCGGCCAGTAAAGCGAGATGAGTGCCGCAACCCCAGAGTCATTCACGACTGGACCCAACAGTCAGGGGTCCCTTTACCTTACCAAATTCTGCCACTTTGGTTACCTAAGGTACCTGATGACTTGCAGAAGATATTTTGCAATATTAAAATGGAAATAATGAAATGTAATATACATGGCAATCTTTTATTACATTTCAGTGGATGTATCTAAAGACTGCTTTCTCCTGTATAGTCAATATTTAAACTTCAGACTCTTGTTTTTCTTACAAATGTGCTCCAAATCAGAAGAGCAGGTAACAAGGATTGTATCTAATGTAGTGACAAATGTATAATTGACCTATTCAGACTATCTGATTCCATTTGAATAGTTCCAATTCAAGTTTTTACAACCTTTTGTTGAAGATAATGAGAGAGTACTAAAGAGAAAGGATAAAAGTAGTGTTTACTGCTTAAGTCTTTTGTTATGGCATTTACTGCCCAAACAAGCCTGTCTTTTAATGTCCCCTTTCACTTTTAGAAATCTGCTCTATAGCTCCATTCCAGAGGGCATTTGCTTTTCCAGAACTTGATTTTGGATGTAGCAGCTGTGTGTTTAACTTAAGAAATATATATTTTATCTACCATGATGTTTATATGTAACATCCAGGAGCAGGAGCAGTATTCCAATGTGCCATTGGGTAGAGTCTGTTACATTCATGTTCTGCTTCTGGATTTCCTAAAAACATCTGGTTGGCCATTGTGGAAAAAATGATGCTGGATTAGATGGTCCTTTAGGGTCTGACCCAACAGGTCTGCTCTTACGTTTTTGTTTAGTCCTTAGTTTTGGGTTTTTTTTAGTGCTATATGGGTTGTGTCCAAATCAGAGGGTGACTCAGCAAAATTAATTGACATGACTGACTAACTAACTAGGTCCAGTAATTTCAGTGGGGCCACTCTGAGTTGAACATAGTTGGATACAACCTTTTGTGCTTATAATGTGACACCGGTATGCTTTGTTATCTGCTTCACAGCCATCATTAAGAAGCAATATATAAACTTAAAAATATCTCTTTCCCCTTTCTGTAGGTCTGGCTGATGGTAGGCATTGTACTTTTCCACACTTGCCTGGTAAGACCTTTGTGTACAATGCAGCAGAAGATAGAGTGGAACTTTGTGTGGATGTTGCTGGGCATTTTCCTGTGGGCGCCGATGTTGAAGACTTGGTTAAGGAGGCCCTAAGCCAAGTGCGAGCAGAAGCTTCTTCAAGAAGCCGGGAAGCAAGTCCTTCACATGGACTCCTAAAGTTAGGTAGCGGTGGCGTAGTTAAAAAGAAGTCAGAGCAACTTCACAATATAACAGTGTTTCAAGGGAAAGGCCATTCATTAGGAAGTGCAGCTGGTAGCCAATCACTTCATCAAAGAGCTAGGGAAGCTCCACTGTTAAGAAAGCAAAGCACAAGCACAGACTTCAGTCCAAGTTCTGCTAAATCTGAGTCTTCAGTGTACACAGGTGATTCTGGAAACAGTGAGCTAATACGGATAGCTCCTGGAGTAGGAACCATGAGAGACAGCAGGCAGCTTGATCCTAATTTGATTGAGGCACAACGGAAAAAATTGCAGGAAATGGTTTCTTCGATTCAGGCTTCAATGGACAGACACATGCGGGATCAGAATACAGAGCAGTCGGCGACACAAGACTTCTCTCAAAGGAAACTGGAAGCCGCAAGTCCATCTATTAAAACAAGGAGCCCTCAGACTGGTTTGTCTGAATCCTTTTCTTTATCAAGTGGCAGCGGACATCTGAATGCAGAAACAACTGACAGTAACATGTCAAATGCAGTGGGAACAACATTCTCCACAAGATCAAAAGCACAGAAGGGAAATTCTGTGGAAGAGCCTGAAGAGATGGATAGTCAAGATGCAGAAATCACTAATACATCTGAGCCAATGGATCATTCATGAATAGTTAACAACTGATAAAATACAAGAGATTACTGTGCAAATGTAATGTTTGTTGGCTGGGCCACATAAGATTAGTAATTGAATCTTGTATGTTTCAAAGATTATATCTTACTCATTGCATGATAGCAAGTGTGTGATAGACAATAGCTTTTAATATGCCATTTTGCTGCCCAGGTTAGCTCTCAGTTACCTGTAAATTAGTTATTAGAATATGCACTGGGATGAATATCTGCTGTAGATGTGGGTTCTTTTTTTGTAATTTTATTTCTGTTAAAGTCTTAATCCTCCAGCCCATGTGAAATCATTATGTTTCAAAGATTAATATGTGAAAAGAAAATCTGACAAATGTAGTGTGTTGGTTCCAGCATAAAGAGGCATTCCCTTAGATCTGAACACTTTGCATCCATTTAGATTTTCAGGTTTCTCAAAAACCCACGTATATTTATTGAGATCTCTTTAAAAGTTGTACATTTAAAGAATGATAGGGCAAAGTGCTATATAGTATAAGATGAATCTAAAGCAAAGGTGATGCAGCAATGCATGGCGGACTGAGCCAGCACAGCTTTTTCATTGCCCTGTTGGCTAATGATTGCATGTTTAATTTTGAGCTGGTAAAGTACTATCGTGTGCTTTACATTGCAAAGGCAGTAGTATGCAAGTATTTTAAGAAACTGCAGCAGGCTAATAAGGAATTGCTTTTTGTGCAGGAAGATTTTGAAAAATAACAGTTGGTTATCAGTGCTGGCTATTAACACTTTCTAAGCATGTTGGATTAATGGAATTTAACAGAAGTTTCATCAGATTTTCAGCAGTATAGTAACAGTTTCTTTTTGACTCCTGAAATGGGAAATCCTTAGTGTTTCACTTTTATGCAAGTCTTCATGCATCACGTCGATTAAACTGTCATCCACTTAAACAGCATATTCATCAGATCTACAGTGCTATTTTTTACTAAGCAGCCATAGTATTTGCTCCGTAAAGATAGAATATTTATCTTGATACTGATGTTGCACTTTTGCCTCTTTGCTTATTTCTATTTTATGTGCATTATTACTGCTTCATCTAATGAAAATAAACTTGAAACAGTAAACGACTTATAATACAGAAGAGATACTGAAAAGAAATCTGAAGTGCTTAGCTATTGAAGCCAGTGTTTACTCAACATGCAAGTTTTACCTGGTCCACAAATACTAAGTTTGTATTAATGTTTATATTCTGAAAATATGCTCACACTTTCTGCAGTTATAATCACACAGGAAACCTCTAAGCAATGCTATGATAAAATGTCCTAAGTAAGGGAAGGTTTATTTTTTATATGGGAAATTAACCGAAGGTAAAACTGCCTTGGTTCATTCAACTATATTAATCCATTCAAACACCCTTTTTGCTTTTCTCATTCAGGGACTAAATCTTTTGTTATTTCATGCACTGCTTATATATAAAACATACAAATACAACTTTCATAAATAAATGATTTCAAATATATAGTTTTGCTGCTTAATTTGGTCAAGAAATGAAATATGTGATGTAAATAGGGAATTCTAAAATTGATCATGCCACACAACAGGATGCTTGAGGTGGAATATAAAAAAACCACTGTAACTTCTAACAAACGCACAACCAGACTTGTGGCCGTGGCCCAAAGTGTTATCCATTTGCAAGGCATTGTGCAGGGGTGGGTGATATTGGGCTTTCTGGCACAGCAATATCCCATGCCCCAGTTTAAAAGGTAGCCTTTAATATATTATGAGATGGCTTGTGAGACAAACCAGAATGTAACTACTCTTTCTCTGACCATATGGATATCTGCACTGGATATCTAAATCCTGAAAATTCAGTTAACATCTCTGGCCTCTATCACATAAGCTTGGGAATTCCAGTATTTTTGGAAATATTTTTGTGGGGGATTTATAGCACAGAGCTACGGTTCCTAGGATTCTTTGGATGAGAATCATGGCCACTGCTAGCTTAAAATTGGCTTGGATTATAGGGTTGATAAACAGCCTGGTGGTTTGATATTTTTCTTCTTAGCTTGGAAATACTTTGGTGGTTTTTCATTGTGTGCAAAGGAGGGTAATTGTCAACATCCTTTACGCAAAAATGCATGTATAAATGAGCAAGAGCTGTAAAGTTGGGAAGGCATGGGTGATTTTATAATTTAATGTGGTGTGAACTAAGAGTTAAGTACATCTTTTCTGTTCCTTGTAGAAATCCTTTCTCTTGAGGAATTGTGTTATGACTCTTCATTTTTCCCTACTCAGAAAATAAAAATACAAAGTTATTCACTTTGTATTCTTGCCCCTGTGTGATGTGTTGAAAAGATGTTTGCAATGCTCTGTTTGTAAAATGAAAATAGTAAAGGATTAGGACAGGGCTGGGAAACCTGTGACCTTCTAGATGCCATTCAGCTTAATCCACCTCAGCCAGCATGGCCAATATTCATGGAAGGCCACAAGTTTTCCCATCCTGGCTTAGGAGTGTTATGGAAAAAATACTGCTGTAGCTGTAAGTATGTTGGGGAAGGTTAACATTTAATTTTTTATATTGCAAGTGTGCAATGTAGGCTTATCTCCATCAAAGTTAATGGGATTAATGTGCACAAATAAATGGTGGTCTCATTCACTTTGATGACACATAGTTGCCACTAACGTGATATATTTCACTTAGTGAGCTTAAGCACATGCAACTAGTTACAGGATTGCAGCTTCAGCGAGTGATTGAGAGTCCTCTATAAAATGAATTTATGGAAAATCTCAGATGTGGCAAGGGGATGCCTGAAGTGCATTTCCTTTAGACATTTCAAAATTCTGTCTCTTATTATTCACCAACCGTCAGGCTTTCTGATATGTGTGGGTCTAAAATTTGACAATTGAAAGGCCATGGTTTTCTTTCAAACACTGTTAAGTCGGTCAAAAAAGCTTGTTCTTGAACAGCCAGTTTAATGTATATATAAAAATATGAATGGGAAGTGGGAATACAGTAGTAGCACAGCAGCACCAATACACTGGTTTACTCAGGAGGGAGTAAATTCTGTACAATCAGAGAAGAAAAATGAAGAAGTAAGTGCATTCTAGAAATTTCTGGAATTGCTGCATACTGATTTGCTTTCCATTAGTAGAATTTTAGTGGGTATACAAGGTGCACTTACTACATTACTGTTCTATATTTCTCTGGAGATTCAGCCCTTGGATGTTTCAGCTTTAAAAACTTACCGTAATTATTTCGCAACTGAAAAAATGGCTTGCTCACTTAATTTCACTTTTGAATGTTTGTTGTACTATACTTCTACCCAGCTAAAAATAAAGTAGCAAGGTGTAACAAAGTTTCTGATTTTTAAAAATAATATTTGATCTTTCCCCTTCTTTGCCTGTATAATGTGTTCCTCTCATTTAGCTTTAAATAATCTACATTTTCAGTTGAAATTGACTTGTTATAGGGGCAGTATTTAGTTGCTGTGTTTGTGGTCCAGACATGACGTCTATTCTTTGCTTTAGTAAAGATCACAGAAGACCATTGCTGCAGCTGTATACTAACTGCTATAGAAAGGATGTATTTTCCAAAACCAAAATGGTTTTTTTCTGAAGGGACAAATTTGAGTATATCTGCATAATGGAGGGCTTTGATGACTGCTCTTCCCTGTGCGCATGCAACCCACCTAGATTTCATATAAGCCCAATGTGTGTGAATTATCCCCGATTTCCACCAATTCTCGTGGAACTCAATTATGTGTATGCTTAGTATTCAGATCTAACCTCCTTTTTCTTTGGGTCAGTTTGACATGCTGGATGCTAATCAGACTGTCACAAGCTCAGTTTGGGGACTGACATTCCAGCAAAAAGCTTTGTTCAATATATACTTGTGAATATCCCATAGTATTTTAAAATATTGCATTTAAAATACTTTAAGGCAGCATTCCAACTTTGCCCCTATGATTGTAGTAAAGTTAAAAGACTGAACAGTGATTCGTATTTTTAGATTTTATTTTAATGAAGGTTATTGCCAGGAAGAGAAATAGTGCACTTTTGGAAGTAATTGAGTAAAAAAAAATGTATAAATAAGCATTAGTACTGTATATATTTAGGAAACCTTTGAAAACAGCAAGTGCTTTACAAATTGAATACAATTAGAATAGCAATGATACCATGTTCACAATGCTGGCTGTTCAGCACACTCAGATTTTATTTGTGATTGCTGTACTAATTTTTTTTTAATCTGTATTGTATCAATAGTGTATTATAACAGTGTACTATATTACACTTTATTGTACAGTATTTGGGATTTTCTTTGATTGCTATATTAAAAACATAAGCTAAACAACTTTTTCCTAATTTCTATACCAACATTATTGTTATTAGTACTGTGGGCAAAGGCCAGCTTTTTCTGTCTTTTGTCAGAGCTAGCTGCTATGGCTGGGTGGAAGTGAGCCACACGTGAGCAGCAACCATTGGTTTTCACCTGAACAGATATGCAAGCTGTTCTTCCATAATTGTGTCCATGAATTTATTTTTTTTAAATCGTATTACATTTGTCACCATCTGGGTCCCAAAGCAGCTTAACAAAATGAAAGCGTACAAAACATTAAAAACCTACATTACACATCTGATATTAAAACTGCAAAAAACAGCATCAGTGGTGCAAAGGCCTGGACTAAAATATTTTAACCAGGCATCCAGAACATATTGGGGATAGTGCCTGCCTAATTTATAGTGGGAGTAAATTCTGTAGAGTTGGATGCGATTCATCCCTTCCCATACCTTGAGTATGGGAATTTTAATTTTATTTTTTATTGACCACGTGAGAGGTCAAATGTTGGTGTAGCCAGTATGTATGTTTTAATGATTATATCCCAGGATTGCAAGCAGAAGAGCAAATGCAAATAAGGCTGATGGGAACTATTTTTCAGAATACTGGATTCAGAGGCGGGAAAGAGCCTGTGGAGTTTCTGCTTCTAAATATTTATCGGGTTTGTACTCTCTTCCTCCCAGAAATTTGCATGGGGAACTTACAGACTGTATCCATTAATACCTGGCTAGTCTTAAATTTGCTTCGCTCCACAGAAACATACCTTCAGGAGATTTTCTGGATTACAGGATGTGGGCAAAGGGTTGAAGCGGAATGGCTAGTTCATGAGCTAAAGCTGTATGACGAACCTGTGGCCCTTCAGAAGTTGCTGGACTGGTTCCCATCATTCCTAACCATTGGCCATGCTGGCTATGGCTGATGAGCACTGGAGACCAACACCTGAAGGGTCACTGACAGTAGCGGATGGCATGGTGGTGTGCCACTGTTCACCTGATTCTCTGGGTGCATGTGGTGCAGCTGATAGTGCAAGATAAAGGGGCAAGGAAGCAGTGACAGTGTAGTGCAAGCGCACCAGTGGAGCGCTCCAACAGGTATGTTTCCCCTGTATGGACATTGCCATCTCCTGGCCTCTCTACTTCACAGCAAGCAACAATAAGTAAGCACTGTATAGATCAGGTGAGCAGCAGCACCCCATCACAAGGCCTCTCCATGTCACAGTTTGCCCACCCTGAGTTAAAAGGGGTGTGCAGAACAGCCTTGGTGCCTATGCGAAAAGCAGATTAATGAAAAGGGTGTATGGTGTTGTTTTCTTTCTTTGAAGGACAAGTGTTTTACAAGTATCTATAGCAACACTGTTTGGAGTCCTCCTGTGCATGTAGCTGAAACAAAACCGCACCACTCAAACTACGTGAGATGTACCAGCAGACGTAAGGGGTAACCTTGAGGCAGGCACAAACGATAACAGTGGAAAGAACTGGTAGGGAAAATCCCTAAGCAGGGCAGCTGCTACCCCCAAACCACCCGCTAACAGCTCAATGCAAGAATGACATGCTGCCACAGAAGGAACTGCCAACCAGGTGAGATAGAGTGGAGTGGATGGAACAGAAGGATACAAAATATATTGGATAGAACTGTCTCATTCTCTTTATAGGTCACTTCCTGGTTCACGTCCTGATCCTTATGTGGAAGAAAATGCATTAATTCAGAGTTGTTAATCTTTGCTTAGCTATAAATATATATCAAAACATTTTCAATTAGGACTAGTCAAGTACTAACGTATAATGAAAACCATTCTAAAAGATCACCTAGTTTAATAATAATAATAATAATAATAATAATAATAATAATAATAATAATGAGAATAATCAAAATCTGCTAAGTAGATAACAACCATAAATGTCATGCTATGGAACACATGACTACAAGCCTGGAAAACTCCCCCCACCCCCCTTCCCCAGCCTGCTCTTAGCTGCTAGTAAGTACAGTAAGCTGCTGACAGCTTGTCTAGAATTGCATGGGTGTAATCATTGGGGAGTTGAATCTACAAATGTCATGTGGTACTGTATTTGGGTGATGTGTTCCAAGTGAATGTGGATGGCTGCACTTAGAATTGTGCTTCAGTCTCCTTGAAGATACAGTGGTACCTCGGGTTAAGTACTTAATTCGTTCCGGAGGTCCGTTCTTAACCTGAAACTGTTCTTAACCTGAAGCACCACTTTAGCTAATGGGGCCTCCCGCTGCTGCCGCACCGCCGGAGCACACAATTTCTGTTCTCATCCTGAAGCAAAGTTCTTAACCCGAGGTACTATTTCTGGGTTAGTGGAGTCTGTAACCTGAAGCGTATGTAACCTGTAGTGTATGTAACCCGAGGTACCACTGTAACAGAATTCTGCCCAATGCTGCCGCTGAAGTGTGTTGTGGATGTCAGCTGGGCATCCAATTAAGTTGGTTGAGTTGGGCTGCAGTGCCTTATTCATTGCAACGTGAACATGATCCTATGTTTGGCAAGCATAGCCACAGAAAGGCATGTAGAATGCCATGTGAGGAGCCCAGAATGGTTCTTGCAGCATTGGCAAGAATGGAGAGGAGACAACTGCCCCTCGCAGCACATAGTGATGGCTGTCCCTGCCTGCCTACAATGAGTTAAGTCCTGTTGCCAGAATGTCAGGATGAATTTCCCCTTTCTATAGGTACTAGAACCTGCTTCTTGGAGCCGCACCCTTGGTGCAGTGGCTCACTGGGCCAAATTGTTGTTAGGGAACACCTTTGAATGCTGCAACATACAGGGATTTGTAGTTTGCTTGAGTTAGCTGTAATCTCTATGACTAGTGCAGTGATTCTCCATTGGCACAAACTGGCTAACAATGCCATCTGAAAGGCTTGAGAGTGTTGATGTTTACACACCTCACGCTTACTTGCTGAGGCCTTTCCATAGGTTAGTGGTTTAAATAACATCTTGTCATCCTCATGCCCCTCTCAGCTGACCATACTGGAAACTCCTCCATCCTATTTATGGAACATGTAACTCATGAGTCTGCATAAAACGTTCAAAAATAGAAATGGCCATAATTCATGAGTTACAATATCCATCTGAGGCTGTATAGCTGTTTCCCTGGCAGGCATATATGTGTATTGTACTGCAAGCTATTCTATCAAAATAGGGTTTTGTTTCGTTTGTTTGTTTTATAAAGGCAGTGGAATAGAACTTCACAAAATGCATCCTGTTCTATATTCAAAATATTTTGGATATCAACTAGAAACTTTCAGCTTATTGAGCAACATAGTACAGCCTTATCTGTAGTCAGCAGACTTTAAACAGCTGCAGTTCCTCCACTAAATGCATGACTCAGTTGTTGGAAATGTGGAATTGAAATATTGCTAGATAAAAAAAATGTAGTTGAAATATTGCTAGATCGGAAAAATGTAGTTATCAAGTATTTGCACAAAGCTGCAAACACTTACTGAAAAACATTTTGAATGATTCAGTATTCAAACACTTCTAACATCCTGTAAGCAAGCTTCCTCAGTAGACACCTGTTATAGAACTCTTGTGAACTTTTGGACAGTGGCAGTAGTGCATCATGGCAGATCTAATAAGAAATGTAAATTCATATAGGTCATAAAAATGGGGTTGTTTATTGCACACTGACATGAATCAAAATAGACACGTTTAACACTTCAACGGCTTTTAGTTCCATTGCATGGTGCTGATAATGCCAGGGTCATGGGTTCAATGCCTATATGGGCCAACTACTGTACATATTCCTGTATTGCAGAGATGGACTAAACGATATTGGAGTCCCTTCCAACCCTACAATTCTGTGAATCCAGGTCAGCAACAGTACATATGTATTGTGTATAGCAGTGTGAGAAAATTAGCTAAATAAAATCACAACTAAACTGATACACCCACAACATACATTCAGAAAGGAGCAAGTACAGAGGGCATGAGAGTGAGAAGGCAAACTAGCCATGGGGGTAGCCAGGATTTTTGTTGGGGGGGCAGGCTTTTGTTTGGGGGGGGCAGAACCTCAGCTATGTATTTTTTATTGATTTGGGGGGGGGGCAGCTGCCCCTCCCTGTCCCCCCTTGGCTACCCCCATGACACTGGCTTATTCTTTCCAAATGGGCTCACTTGGCAGACTAGGCCTCAGCTTTGTGCAGCTGAACAGGGAGAATCAGAGAGGCACAGGCACACACACATGGAGATAGGAAGTTCAGAACAGATCTAAAAAGACAGCCATACCTAGACAGGAAGAGGAAGAGCAGACGTGGAGGCTACGATTGGAAGGGAAAGGGCCTCCAGAATATAGGAGAGGGAGCAAAGGTTACCATGGCAGCCTCAGTGGACAATAAAACTGGCACAGGAGAACTGAGTTATATTGAAGCTCCTCAGTTACGCAGGAAAACAGTTGAGGAAAACAGGGAAGAGGGAGTCCTGACAACAATGGCTTGTTGTCAGCTGGAAGAAGGATCCTTGCTTCAACAACTACCATGATTTGATTTCAGATTCAGATGATGGGCCCAGAAGGGCACATAGCTGTCAACTTTCAGATTTGAAAATAAGGGATCAGCAGCCTCGAAAATAAGGGATCAGCAGCCTCACCTGTCCCGGGGACAGTCTACAGGATATCTAACGATCCGGGATAGCAGCGGGAAGCATCAGGAAACGGCGCTGGAATAAGGGAATTTTCCGCAAAAAAAGGAAAGGTTGACAGCTATGGAAGGGCACCACATTGTACCGAGGTCACATCCTGTGCATATGACTTGCCAACATCATCTCCATTTGCGTTTTCCTGAATGTCTGGGTAGCACTACTAATTATCCTGGCACTTCAAGGTACAGTTGCCAGCGGTGAGTGCAGCTTCTCACAACTGAAGCACATCAGAATGTGATCCATGGCGGATGAGAGGCTCCCTCATCTCTCTGCATTTGCACAAGCCAAAGGTCGAAAAGCCACATTCTGAGTAGTAGCAGCGCACTATGTAACACAACAGATGTGTCACACATTTTACTTCTAATAAGTTTTCTGTTTTGTAGCAGTTCCTAGCTCGGTAAGCATAATTTATTTTGGAATATCCATTATTTTTATCTTTAAAAATAATAAAATAAAGTAAGCCATCCAGCTTACCCCTTACAGCTTTATTTTATTGTAATTTATACAATAATTTATATAGTGCTTCTAGCGTTGGTTGTATTTGAAGTGAACTAGCTACCTAGCACAAATGACATTGAAGTTGAAAAAGAAACATACAGTACTTTAAAGCTAATTGAAGGAAGATAATTTTCGTAGTTAGTACCCCAAAAACTAATAGAACATTGGAAGGGGTGGATGTTACAGGCGCTTGCTTTTTGCTTCTCACTGCAGCAGAGTGTACATCAAAAAACGCATCGGCTGAGCTCAGGTGGCCTAAGGCCGCCCCTGAATTCACATTTACTGTCGACTACTGAAATGACTTTTTAGAGATATTATAGAACTATTGGCCAGTAGCATGGTTATATCTATTGCCGTCAGAACCAGCCTAAAAAAAGACACCCTCTCTTAATCTTAAATTGTTTATATACGCGGCCGTTAATAATATATAAACACAGTGATAAATGCCAATGAAGAGTTGGAAATGCGTTAGCCAGTGCAGTTTTTCCCTGCAGCAGTTGTACTGAAACTTTGTATACAGAAAACAGAAGCAGCGAACTCAACGTCCCTTCGATAGCTCAGCTGGTAGAGCGGAGGACTGTAGAGGCGCTAACTCCACACGGAGATCCTTAGGTCGCTGGTTCGATTCCGGCTCGAAGGAGACCTTGCTTTTTCTTTTTTTCCTTCTCTGACAGGTATAAAATCTCTTCGCAGTGTTGCTATTCATTCCTTTTCTTAGTGGCGTGTTTGTTTTTTTAAGGCAATTGTATTATCGTTAATTAATATATATTTTTCTCTCCCGAGAAAGGCGAATTCACGAGTGCCCAGTCTTGTATACGGATTCTCGCTACTTTTAACGTGTGGGAAAAGGAAAGCGGCACAACAGGCTGACTCCGTACATATCGCAGAGGGTATTTTGCCCGTTCGTGAGTTGCCTTTGGCTACTGCCCTTAAATACGGGCCGTTTTCGTTTCGGTCGTTTTGTCCCCTCACAAGCCCTGGGAGGCGAAAGGACTCCCTCCCCCAGCATGCCTTGCGCCTTAGCCCGCCTTCGGCCCCTCCTCCGGCTCCTTTCCATATCCCGCCACCTCTCTCCCCTTACTGGCCGTTCCCCCTCCTCCCTCGCACCAGCCCCCCTGCTTGGTCGCGTGCTTTCTGGAGCAGCCAATGGCGTAGCAGTCCGCGTGCGCAGATTCAAACGGCGGCTCTGGAAAGAGGCTGGGCGCGAGATTCGGCGGCAGGGACAAAAAAAAGAAGAGAAAGGAGCCAGCGAGGGTGGAGGCGGCGGCGGCGGCGCCTGGGGCAAAGCAGCCCTGCCGGAGGAGCTCCGAGCCGTGACAGCCGAGCGAGGCCCCAGGCGGGGGACTTGGAGCCCGGCTTCCCATCCCTTTCGCTGGGCGTAAGGCCATGTCCCCCATGCGGGGGGCGAGGCGCGGCCGGGGCTGAAAGGCAGCCGCGCCCCCCTCCCCGCCCCCTGGGGGCTGCGCGCCTTGGCCGGTGGTGACAGCCGCGCTCCCTTCTTCTCGCCTTCCTTATGGTGCGCGCCAAGGATGGCGAAGAGGCCGCGCAGGTGAGTGGCCCCCGCAGACCCTCCCGATCGCCCCCTCCCCGAGGCATCTCCAGCGCCCTGCCTGCTGCCCGGGACCTTTGGGGAACCTGAGCCCTGCCGATCCGCTGGAACAGGGGGCTCCTGACAGCCCTCCGGCCGTCTCCACAGATCCCCTCGCCTCAGGAGATCCTCGCTGCCGTTTCCACGTGCCCTGACCATCGGATCCTTTGGTCCATTCACTCTTGCGCCCCAGCGCCTCGACCTGAGTGCATCTTCCCAATTCCAATTAAGGTGTCCCCCCCCCCCCCCGACATCATTAATATTATTCACAGAGCACAAGGGGACACAGAATCTTGTGTATTCAGTGGTAATCTTTTCACTTGATTCTCGGGTATTCAGTAGTAATCTTTTCACTTGGTTCTCCACCTTGCCCCCAGCTACAGCACTATTCCAACACTCGGATTTCTTCCCCTTTGGAAATTTATACTGCCCTCTGGGCTCCACCCTATTTTCTTTGTTTTTGTGTTTGGGCATCGAGTCACATAACAATGACAAAAGAGCCTTTCATATTGGTAATTCATGTCCTCTTATCCTGGTAATTCCCTCTGTCGCTGATTTACTGTAGTGTCGATACAGTGGTTTTTTCTTTTTTTTTAATCCTTCCTCTGTATGAGAATAGTAGATTGTACAGCTGTTACTAAATGAGACATGGCACTGTGTTTTCTTCCTTGGGAAGGCAAGGTAGAAAGCTAATTATTGTTGTTGCGGGGGGGGGGGGCTGCAACGGGAAGGAAAGCAATGTCCATGTTGACCTTAAGGACCTGACAAGAGAGAGAGTGTTGCCTGCATATAAAGACATGTACAGTGTGTTTTATTCTCGTACAAACATTTTTTTCATATTTCTACAACAAGTCACTCTGAAATTTACACCCTGTGTGATCATAGAATTAACATACAGATAAACAAGAATGTGTAATAATTTCATTCTGGTGTAGATAGTTTATGTACAGTATCAAACTAGATATCCAGGATAGAGGATAGAAGAACTACTGTACTGTGGAATTACTTATCTATCAGATTAAAGTTAACAATGGGTCTTACAAATGCAGTTTGGGTAGTGTGCTAATGGCTTTGACATTCATAAAACTGCCTTTTTACTTTCATTAGAATATTAAAAATGATTGAAACTGGATTATTTTTTTAGTTTAGTTTGAATTGGCAGTCTGTTACTTTTCTCTCATGTGTTCACATGCACACACTTGTGGGCTCAATTTTAATTCTGTGTTTATTAGTTTTATTTGCAACTCTGGAAATGCTAGCCAACTATCTTATGCCCAATTATTTGGAAATAAGCCACTTTTGAAATCAGTGGGACTTATGTCCAAGTAAAAATGGACAGACTAAGTCTAATGTGAATGATTTTTTGAATGTGAACATGGCTTAAAATGGGATATTATGGCCTGGTTCAAATGTAGTGTTAAGCAGTATTTCTTGTTCTTTGTTTTGTCAAAACTTTTATTTTTTTAGCAGAAAAACAAGACAAATGAAGCATCAAGAACTGCCCAACTGCTATCCTAAACATCTGAGTCGTCTCCTAGCTTTCAATGTATATAACATAAGATTTATTACTGTATGTGCAAGGCTCAACCCTGCCATACCCCTTTACAAAGCAGAGCAGTAATGTTCTTTCTAAGGTTTGTTTTCAATGTTGAAACCATGGGGTAGCATTCAACTAAATAGTTGTGCTTTTGCAGTGAGATTTCACCCCTTTTCCTCTCCCTATGTGCACTCCACACCACCCCCAAATCTGCTCTGGAGGAACACCACCACCACCAAACATATTTGAGAGGGCACATGGGGAGGAGAAGGGGAGAACATTGTGTTGTGCAAGGAAAAATTCTTTTGTGTTGATGGAACATTTTGTTTAGCGCCCTGTTGAATACAACCCACTGTTTAGAACTTGTTTGCAAATCATATTCTGTGTTTAACTTGGAAATACTGTGAATTCAAATAATAGCCACATTTTTAGGGACTACTTTGAATTACTCATTCTCTCAATGAAGAAAGAGAATTTAAAATAGTGTGACTGCTTTTTACAGTAAAGAAAGAAATACTAGCTGAGCTAAGTTCCCTGAAGAATGACATCTTGAGAGAAGTCAGTTCATGTGGGCATCTCATGTACATGCTCATCATATACACATAGGAAACTAAGCATATCTCATAAGGGCCTCAGAAAAAGAAGACTGTTGTGTATGAGGAATGTATGCATAGTGTGTGTGTGTGTGTATTATATTACAGTACATGGGAACACTGTTCCTAAAAAGTTTACATGGGATAACTTATTTGTCTCACTTGAATTTATACAGTGGTTTGTGACTTTGCATCATGGCACTAGTACCAGCTTCCTCAAAGTAGTGTTACTGTTTTCTACATTGGGGAAATCCTTACAGGGCATTCCTTACAGGGAAGTATCTTTAGGAAAAATAGGATTTCTTCAATACTATTTAGGAACAGTTGCTTCACTTCCTCTTGTGTGGATTCTCTAACAAGTGTCACACCAAGGAAGGCATCCAGCAATGTAAAAAAGGAAACCTTTTGGTGACTGAGAGTTATGCTGACATTCATGATTACATCATGGGTTAAGCAACCTATAAACTGCAGGTGTTTGTCTCCATAAACACTCAAAGCCTAAGTTAGATGAAGGCAGAGGAAATGTGGAAAGAGTATGCTTCATAGATAGTGCTGCTTTTTATTATCCCAATATAGTTGTAAGCCCCCTTCTCTCTGTTCCTCAGTGTCTGCTTTTACCCCAATCCTGTACACATGCATGTGTGCACATATATCTGTCTAGACTGGCTTTAAAGTATCCAGTGCCACCAAACCGGCCAGCTATCCAGGGACTATCATGTACCAGTAGTACACTTGTTGTCTGTAATTTAAAAAGCATAGCTCTTTGGTAACCTTACACCTCACATGTATTGGAAATTTGTAAAATATCTATTTCTGCACATTTATTAGAAAGGCTGAAGGGAAGCAGCTGCTGAAACATTTGTCTAAATAGGGCATTTACAAATATTAATATTGTGTCACAAATAGATATTGTAAAGGGGATGGAGGTGAGAACTAGTGGGTTTTCCCCTGTTCTTTAATTGTTATACCCTCTTTTTGGAAGGAAGGAAGTGTGATACAACTATGGACAAATTTTTTGATGTAAACACCCAATAGTTTTGAAATTAGCTTTTTTTTTGTCCAGTAGATGGCGCACAGACATCAAGGAGGTACAAGGGTGATGACAAACTTCTTCCTATTTCTTTTATTTCATCATGAGTTCCCAGCTTAATGCTATTTGCTACACAACATTCTTGAATAGAAATAAATTTAACATAGAAAAATGCATGGTGTGTTTCCCTATACACAGGGCCACCTTTAATGCAATCTGGACACTTGTTAGTTATGTTTGTGGTTTTCCAATAAAAATTTAACAAGTTCTTATGTAGTCACCCTTCTTCAACAAGACAGACCTTATATAAAACAAATGTTACTAAGTTGATAAACCCAGGACATTAATCTCAGGACCGTATTGGATCCTGCCTAAATGGAATATTTGAATCTTTTGCTTTGATGCCCTACATCTTTTTCTTAACTGAAAGCAGTGCAGGGGCTGTCAATGGGGAAACAATGAAGGAAAACTGTCCTTCCCTCATGCTACTGTTCCACAATTGGAATTGGGCCTTCTGTTGATGATTTGTTATTTTTTTTAAAAAAGATTTCTCAAGCTGTTGTGTAAGCATGGTTTCACTGTCAATGTTAACTTAATATTAGCTTGCACTTTGCAGTGAGGAAGATGATGATGACCTTCACTATGCAGATCATGACTATGAAGTACCACAACAAAAAGGAATGAAGAAGATATGTAACAGAGTAAAATGGACGCGTGATGAGGTGAGCCTTAACCAGGTAATGGCTTTTCTTTATGTTTAGATCTAATGTCATGTGCCTATTTATAAGTTTTTAAAAACTGTATTAACAGGATGAAAAGCTGAAGAAGCTAGTAGAACAGCATGGTACAAGTGACTGGACATTTATTGCTAGTCATCTACAAGTAAGTAGAAATTATTTCAATGAGATTTTTCTCATTTTACATACAAGAGTTCAAAAGCCACATGTGCATCTCCATTGCATGTGCCAAGATGTCTCCCACACTGAAGTCAACAACAAAGCTCCTAATGGAAGCTCTGGGTGTATAGTGGAGCCTTATGGAGTCTTCAGTTGGACAGTGATTTTTTTTCATTCTTCTGCAGAATCGTTCTGATTTTCAGTGCCAGCACCGTTGGCAAAAAGTCCTGAATCCAGAACTTATTAAAGGCCCCTGGACTAAGGAAGAGGATCAGAGGGTAAGTGATCTATATTTTTCTTGATTATTAATTATGTTTCTGAAAGCACAGTAGGATTGCCCAAGAGTGCACTACCCTGCTTTTACCTTACTGCTTTTACCTTTTGGCTGACTCAATTGTAGGATGGGGTTCACAGTCCCATTGTTGTGCTCTTAAGAGTTTACTTGGATGAAAACCAAAATATAAATTAGATTGCTTGAATATTTTCCCAAATTGATTTCATTTCCCATAGGATAATGCTATCAGTTTTTCACAACACTGTCATGTATTTAACTATGATGTGTTAAAATGTAACAATTGGTTTGTTTTTCTTACATGTTAAAAGCTTTCTAATTTTACCCTGTACTTGGCCACACAGTATGTGGAAAGGAAGAGTGATATATTTCAGACTGTTTTCTAAAATGCATTTTCTTTCTCATTGGTTGGAAGCTGTACAATTTTTTATTTTAAAAGTCAGTGACACTCTGTCTTTTGGAACTTTTGAAATATAACTGTTTATCATTTTGCTTGACACAATCTTGTACTACTTCAGTATTACTATTTTTTTCAAGTAAAAATAGCCCAAATAAATGTAATTAGGATTCTCTAATTCTTTATCATGAATATGGCTATTGTTTTCTTATATAGTAATCAGTTGCATACTGTTGCTGTTCAATTTGTGTTCCAGGTTATTGAGCTTGTTCAGAAATATGGTCCAAAGCGTTGGTCTTTGATTGCAAAGCACTTAAAAGGAAGAATAGGGAAGCAATGTCGAGAACGATGGCATAATCACCTTAATCCTGAGGTAAAGAAATCTTCATGGACTGAGGAGGAGGACAGGATCATCTATGAAGCTCACAAACGCTTGGGAAATCGATGGGCTGAAATTGCGAAGTTGCTTCCCGGAAGGTAAAATCACACTGTTATTTCTAGGTTTCTGAAACCTATGCCAAAATAATTGGCACTGGCCTCCCCCCACTCCCAGTTTAACATGCTCAAAGAAGCTCCACCCTTCTCTATGCCATGTCTTAACTCAATTTTTTGTGCAGTAGGCTGCGCCATAACAATAAATGTCCCTCTGCCTGGCCAATCCTGCCAAGCATCCAGTGTCCCCAACTGATCTCCATAGATTTCTCTTAAACTTGTAGAGCAGTACCTAGTAGTTCTCCCAGCTAGGCTCATTGGGCTGGTGTGTGTGTGTGTATTTGGAGGAGGGGGGTCCTTCCTTGCATGTGTTTCTGGGCAGGCATGATTACATAAACCAGTAACCACTGAGGCTTAGAAAAGGAAAGAAGGGAGTTTGGTATATTAGATGTCCTGTGGCCTTCTGGCTCAAGTAACCAGGCAGCAATCTACTGAACTCCTTTAGTTTCTTCAAGTACCCATGATGTTGCTTGATATTGCAACGTCTTATTTCCCCTCTCCCATCACCCCCTGCCATGCCAAGAATGTTACAGAGCTAAGCTGTGTAAGTGCTCCCCAGAATCAGCATAGAAGGAATTGATAGTGTAAAAGTTTGTTTCTAAAGGGTGAACTAGGAAGAAATATCCAAGAAATGGATTACAGTGGTACCTCAGGTTACATACACTTCAGGTTACATACACTTCAGGTTACAGACTCCCCTAACCCAGAAATGTTACCTCGGGTTAAGAACTTTACTTCAGGATGAGAACAGAAATCGTGCTCCAGTGGCGCGGCAGCAGCAGGAGGCCCCATTAGCTAAAGTGGTGCTTCAGGTTAAGAAAGAGTTTCAGGTTAAGAACGGACCTCCAGAACGAATTAAGTACTTAACCCGAGGTACCACTGTATCTCGCAGTGGATTTTGTAGTATTTGTTGATTAAGTAATTACAAATGTCCTGCTTATCAAATAGCATACCTTTCCTCTTTTGTTCTTTTGTGCTCTGCAATTTATCTTGCATTTTGAGTTATTTTAAAATCTGAATCAAATAGTTGTTAATGCTATATTCAGAGCAGTTAAAGTAATACAGATTTCTTCCTCCAGACGGCTATGATTCCGATAACAAAGAAACTAATACTTGGGTGGAATCCAAAGGAGGAAGAGAAACATTTTTAAATTCTACTTGTGCAAGTTTCTGTTAGGAAGAATCCTCTTAGATCCCCGTCCCTTTCTATTAGTATGAAAAAGAAATATTGTACTGTTTTAGAAATATTTGAAATTTCCCTTTTTAATTTAGAGAAGTACTGAGAGGTATCTTTCCTTCTTAAGACATTATTTCTCTCATGTTTCTATCTTGATATAGCTAAGCTCTCAGGTCAATGCAATATGTAACTACATAATTTCTACATTTTGGGCACAATGCAGCCAAAGTTAAATAGTGTTCATGGTTTAATTCATTTCAATAACAGTTAAGAAGGTGATTAACTCTCATCCATTGAATACATGAGACTTTATATTGCTTTACTTTGGCTGGATCTGTCCCATGATTTAGGACTGACAATTCTATCAAAAATCATTGGAACTCCACAATGCGAAGAAAAGTAGAACAAGAAGGATATTTACAAGATGGAATCAAGACTGAGCGACCTTGTTCGTCAAAACTGCCACACAAAACTTGTGCATCTACAGACCATATTCATACTCCAAATCAGTTTTACATACCAGTGCAGGCACATGTAAGTTCTTCAGAACCTTTTGTGTGTGTCGGGGGTTGGAAGCATATACTAAAATGGATGGTAATTTTTTTCTGTCAAGTGCTGCATTCTCTCCAGTGGTGAGTAGGACCACTGTTTTTATTTCTCCCAGCAGCTCTTTCTCTTTTCCCATCCCCCTCTACACCGCCTCTCCTCTCTCTTCATTCTTGGTCTTCACAGAGATTAGTCTTCTGCAAAGGACTTTAGAAATTTGGCTGAGCGCTATGGCTAGCCAGGTGAAAAATAAGGCAATGCTCCTGTTCATAGTTATGTAAAGCGAGGGATTTCTCTAGATGAAGCTGGCATGACAAGCTAATCTGCTGAAATTCCCTCTTTTTCTGGTATAGATGTTTTCTGTTTCATTTATTTATTAAAATGCATAGTGATGGATGAATACTGAGGGATATAATAAAAATTGGAGTGGTTTGTGTAAGAACCATCATAATAAATGACACTGAGTAACGTTTCCAAAAATAGATGAAGAATAATAACAAAACTAAACAAATGGGACAGGGTACAAAACAGAGGTTGGGGAGTTAGTTGGAGTCCAGGAAGAGTTAGGTAAATGTTAGTTCTTAAGAGGTATTTAAAAGTTATTACTGTCTTTGCCTCATGAATGGCCCAAAGGAGGATATTCCTGAGGTGTGTGCTGTTGCTGAGAAGGCCCACTTCTCCTTGTGAAAACTTAGAAATATATTTATTTCATAAAATTTATATACTGCTTGATTGTAGAAAAAAACATTAAGGCAGTTTACAAAAAGACGGGCTTGGTTTATGCCAAGAGAGGCTGTCTGCTACAGTCTGCATCCTGGTCCCAAGTTGTTTAGGGCTTTAAATATCAACAGTGAAACATTCAAAGCAACTAGGCAGCTAATTTAGACTGAGACATGTCAAGATACTCAGTTCCATCTAAGAGCATGTGCATTGCATCTTGCCAACCCTGGAATTTTTATTTAAAAATCCAATGTTTACCGCCTCAGTAAGCCCTTTTTTTTTTTAACTTGGAAAATGAGCTCTTCTCTCCAAGTGATACTGTGATAAATTAAAAGTGTGATAAATGGATATTGTGATGAAAGTGATACAGTGGATAAATTTTCTTTTATAATTTAATAACCTGAGAGTTCCTCATTTGTCTCAAATTGATCAGTTTTTGAAAAGAAGTATGTGTCAAATTTTAATAATTTGCTGAAATTGAAAAATGTGTATAAAGTGTATAAAATCAGTGTATAAAGAACAGTTCTGATTTGTTAGATCCCAGGATATCAGTATGTTTCAACAGAAGGCAACTGCATTGACCATGTCACAACTTCTTCAAATTTCATTCAGGTAAGTTATGTCTATAATGATGAATTTTTAAGCTTTTTATGAAAATATTTGGCAGATAGCATGCAAATATATTTGTTTAAGGACTTTATCACCAGGATTGTGTTGAGCAGCAGTTCCATTAAAATGAATAATGGCTTTTATATAATGTGACCTCTAGGAGAGCGTTTTGAGAGGAATTCTGTGCAGGCGAAAAATGTGTCTATAATATTAGTTTCAAAGGTTATAAGGTGTTCCCCCTTTTCTTTGGGGGGCAGATAGAGATTGTGTGGCCTACAGTGGCCTGGCTAGCACATCGTATTAAATAATACTGCAGTTTAAAACAAACTATTCTGAATACCAGTTGCTGGAAACCACTGGAGGGGAGAGTGCTCCTTTGCTCAGGTTCTGCAATTTTGGAGAGTTGCAGCTAGGCAGGAAAACAACAATCCTTTCCTCCCTAGCTGCAACCCACAATCACCTCTCCTCCATTGTAATTAAGCTTCAAAAACCTCTTACTGTAGCCAACAGAGGGCTTCTCTGAAGACTACCTTGTACTGTGAGTTCTTTTGGCATGGGGTGGTGGAATAATGATCCCCAGCTGTGAGCCTGTGACCCTTCAGAATTTCTCCTAAGTTGCAACTAATCTTGAAAAGCAGTCAGGAGGGACACTGGGGGTGGAACTTATGGGCACCAGGGAAGGCCTCTGGGTGCATGTGAACCTGTGGGCTCCATGTTGGCAATCCATTTAAAAAAAATAATAAATGGAACGCTTCACGAACCTACATGTCATCCTTACACAGGGGCCATGCTAATCTTCTCTATCGGTCCAACCCTAGTACATGTGCTGCCGAAGCAAGCACAGGCAATCCATGTTTTAAATGAGAACTTATCAAAGTTTAATTGAGTTTGCAGAAAATTATAACAGCAAATATGTTGCCATTCTCAGTAATGTGCCCTAAACATAACACTTTGTCCTTTGGTGTTGTTTTTTTTTCAATGTATGCATCAGCAGCCATTTGATGATGATCCTGACAAAGAGAAAAAAATTAAGGAACTTGAGCTGTTGCTTATGTCGGCTGAGAATGAAATCAGGAGAAAGAGAGTCTCATCTGTAAGAACTTTTTGTATAAATATCATGATGGCTAATGATTTTTTACTGTGTATATTTTAAACAAATTAATGAACAAGGGCTTTATGATTCTGATTTGTTTCATAGGTGTATTCTGCTTCCCCATTCTCCTTTGCTTATACAGGAATCCTTGAGGGAATCCTGTTGGTTTTCCTGCACAGTGGAACAAGAGGGAGGGGCAGTTGAGACAGCTTGAATGACATAATGTCATTATATCTTAGAGTTTTTAGAAGAAAGTTGGTGCTTTTAATACCTTTCATTGCTAAATTATGGAGGGCAAAGGAAATGTTGCAGGAAGGGAGCTTCTGTGCTATATCTGCCATTGGCTCTTTCTCTGCATACGGAATGTGTTTTCCTTAGAATCCCAGTATGCTTGAACTATAGCCTAAATGCCAATCAGCATGGATTAACAATCAGACCTTCTTCCCAGGGAACTCTGGGAATAGTAGTTCTGAGAGGGGAATTGGAGTCTCCCAACCACTCTCCCAACACTAAAAAAACCAACTACAGCTCCCAGGATTCTTTGAGTGAAGCAATGACTGTTTAAATTGAGGTGATACTGCTTTAAGTGGCTAGTGCAGGTGGGACCTAGGTTGCCTAATAGTAATTTATGTTAGTCATCTTTCATGTTTAATATCAATAAAAAGCAACACTTTTTGTATTCTTAGCAAGCTGGAAATTTTTCTAACTGGTCTGGAGGCTTCATCATGGAAGATAGTATGACAAATGCCCTAAATGGCCTTGGGGAACAAACAAATGACTTCTATAATCTGGATGAAACCCAGACTGCAACAGCTCAGCAGAACTCTCCTACCAAATATTTGGCTGTGGAGGCAAATGCGGTTTTGTCATCTCTACAGACCATTCCAGAATTTGCAGAGACGCTAGAACTCATTGAGTCTGTAAGTCTGAATCATCTTATTTCCAGCCTTTAATAAACAATTTTTCATAATATGTTAAAGAGAAACAAACAAACAATATTAACATTAGCACAATATATAGCATTTGTTCTATGTATTGCAAGTGCTACATAGTAATAGTGTTTCACTATTAGCAGCTTTATTGGTTTTTGTAAAGAAAAACAATACAGAATTAGGAATTAACATTCTAGAATAAGATGAGAGAAAATTAGGAGACTGAATTCAAACTAAAAAGACATGCGTGTAAGGACTAGAGTTAAATTTAGTCGTTTTGTGCTAGAATGATGGTGCATAGTTAAGCAACTGATCCCACCAGTCCAATTCTGTTGAAATAAATAATTCTGTTTATTTTAATAAACACATGGCACAATGTTTCTTTCTCCCCCTTGTAGGATCCTGTAGCATGGAGTGACGTCACCAGCTTTGACCTCTCTGATGCGGCTACGTCCCCTGTCAGTCAAGCTCCAGTAAAACTAATGCGGATTCAGCACAATGATGGGGCCATGGAGTGCCAATTAATGTAAGTGTTGTACTAGATGGCAAAAAATCAAGTGACGACGAAGAGTCAGCATCTCCAACTACAGCCAAGTTCAGTACTCCTCCAACTATTTTGCGCAAGAAGAAGAAAACTAGAACTGGACTGTCACCATCAGCCAATGAACAGAACGATGGTTCATGTAGCAATGGTTCCAATTTTGCACTAAAACAAACACCAAGTGAAAACACTACCCATTTTCTCCTCCCAGGTAAATAAAATTAATGTAATTAAATCTTGCTTTTATTGGAATAGGTTAGGCAGGGTTGTCTAGCTAAATCCCTATAAATCAGTAAAAGTTGATTGTTACACTATTCATTCCACTTGTAAACTATTGTTAAACAAAAAATTCCTTCCCAGTAGCACCTTAAAAGCACCACTAAGTTAGTTCTTGGTATAGCTTTCGTGTGCATTCACACTTTCTTCAGATACAGTTAAGTATGCAGCTCTTCCCCTGCTCAAGTACATTGGTTCTGCACATTTTAACTATAAGTGACTCAGACCTGTCTCGGGTTGTGTCATGGCAGGAATTGGGATTGGCTCTATAAATGGCTTGCAGCTCTTCCATACAAATTAGTATTGTTTCCAGTGTTATCTGAATGGCGTCAATCCAACACAGCTTTAAGCCAACAGTTTTACAGAAAATCACTGAAAATATTGGAATGATTACTCCAAAAGTTCAGCAAAAGGTCAAAGTAGAATGAAAGGTAGTTTGCATTAGTTGCAAAGACAGCAATGTGATCCTCGGATGAAGGGTGGTATAGAAATTTATTTATTTAATGATGTTGTTGATATTAACTGATTGGCTTGTATCCAGTGATAGTTCTACACTGCATAAAACATACCTGGGTACAGCCCATTGTTCTTCTCTGACATAAGGGTAGAGAATCATTCTTATGAAATCTTCATAACAGCATGATGCTGAATGAGAATTTGTCTTGCTACAAGTTGGACAGCTCATAATTGTGTGTATGGGGCAGAGTAATAAAAGCAAAACTGCTCAATTTTCATGGAACAATTTGTGTTCTTGTTTTATGTGCAGTTCTTCAACACCTGTTCTGGAAATGAGCAGTTTAACATTGAAAATCCCGCCTTTACATCAACTCCCATTTGTGGCCAAAAGGTTCTTATTACCACACCTTTACATAATAAAGAAGTAACACCCAAAGATCAAAAAGAAAATGCAGGGTAGGTATATGATTGATTTTAAATGGCTTTTAGATATGAATTAAAAACAAAACAGAACCTAGATGCGCTGAAGAATTACTTTGCAAATACCATCAAAGGAAAGTGGGGGAGTGGATTCAATCCTTAAAATGACTGATTTTGACTATCTAAATAGTAACACACTGCATAAATAACTTTGGTTCTTGGAAAGTTTTAGGACACCTACTATTAGAAGATCGCTGCTAGGTACAACACCAAGGACCCCTACTCCATTTAAGAATGCTTTAGCTGCTCAAGAAAAAAAATATGGTCCTCTGAAAATTGTGGTATGTAGAATTTTGGTTCATATTCCTTTTATGTAACTTTTGGTTCACATTGCCTTGGATACGCATACACAAATACACATATCAGGACCCTTTTTAATGTAATTGATTTTAAACTGTTTTAAATATTAAGTTTTAAATTGCTGTAACTCCTCTAATGGAGGGTGGGTAAGAAATCACATTATCATTATTAGAGTGGGACTTCTATTTAAATATAAGACTATGCTATGATAGGCCATGTTACTTTGCTTCAAACCAGTTGGTTGTTTCTTTCTTCCTTTGAAAGTTTAATGGTAATCCTTTGTACTAGTATATTGGTATATAGAGAAGCATGGTTTGATTTGTTGTTAATGTCCTCATCTCTTTCCATAGTGCTGTGCTGGATTGCTACTGGATATTCCATAAATTAAATAAGAATACAGTTGAATTACTTGTGCATTGGAATTAAATGTTTTTTTTAAAAAGTAGTGTACATACCGGTAGTTCTATGATATTTAGGGGAAATCATCTCTTGACTTGCCTTCTGCTTGATGTATTTTACCTGTTTGATTAGTCACAGCCCCTTGCCTATCTGGAAGAAGATATCAGAGAAGTTTTAAAGGAGGAAACTGGAACAGATATCTTCTTCAAGGAAGAAGAGGATTCTTTCTACAAGGGCTGCAAACTAGAGGTAAGTTACATTACCCTTTTTCAAAGCTCCTTTACAAAGAGGGTGAGGGCACCACCCACCCTTGTTGTTTTTTATGGGTATTATTGGAGGGAGAAATGATTGTGAGTGCTCCAGCATGGGAGCAGAGAAGTGTGTGATTTTGCATGGGTGCAGGGAGTGTGTAATTTTGCCCCACTTTATGTTGCAAGCTTAGGTTGGGGAGATAGCAGAAGTGAGAATGCTGTTGCTACCTGTAAATACATACTTGTATATTTGGCTAGCTGTCTATTGTATTTCTGTAATTTGGAATTGATATTAGTCATTATTTTTATTTTGGTTTAATATTAATGTTTTATTTCTGTGCTGTTATAAAATGTGGAATTTTTCACTTTTTAATCAACTTGTGATACTTGTATGATATTGTAAACTGCTTAGTGATTTCTGTGAAATATGGAGCAGTATATAAATTTAAAAATACATAGTATTCTAGCATTGCAAGGATTATGGAAACGATTGTAGTTGCCTTTCTTTCTTTAAAATGTTGCTCCTAGAATCCTTCTGTGAAGAAAGTCAGGAAGTCATTAGTTTTGGATCCTTGGGAAAAAGAAGAGCTCGGTGCCCAGTTTTTCACAGAAGACAGTGTTCCAGATGTACAGGTGAGCAGCATGAATTAAAATATGCACATATTTAAGGTAGAATGTAAACTAATTTGTTTCTGTAAGTCATAGTTATTTGAAATCTTCTCTATTGACAAGTAGCACAACCAAGCATGACAATGGCTTTAAAAATATTACTACCAAATTTAGATTTTAAATGGCAAGAAAAACAGCAGTCTTGTCTCATTTTGTAATGGAACATTTTTAATATTTATAGGCAGCTTTTATGCTAGAAGGGACGCGGGTGGCGCTGTGGGTAAAAGCCTCAGCGCCTAGGGCTTGCCGATCAAAAGGTCGGCGGTTCGAATCCCCGCGGCGGGGTACGCTCCCGTTGTTCGGTCCCAGCGCCTGCCAACCTAGCAGTTCAAAAGCACCCCTAAGTGCAAGTAGATAAATAGGGACCGCTTACAAGCGGGAAGGTAAACGGCGTTTCCGTGTGTGGCTCTGGCTCGCCAGAGCAGCGATGTCACGCTGGCCACGTGACCCGGAAGTGCCTCTTGAGTGAGATGGGCGCACAACCCTAGAGTCTGGCAAGACTGGCCCGTACAGGCAGGGGTACCTTTACCTTTTTTATGCTAGAAATATCTTTCTGTTAGTGATACAAGAACACATTTATCTGGATCCATAAAATATTTCAAGCTAGAATTATTGGAATTAAGATGATACAGCCTATTGAAGTCATATCGCCAAATGCTGGTTATTTCAAAGTATGCCACTTTTATAAGGTTGCTAAACACTAGTTGATAGGGATGAACCTGCTAGGCATTATTGTTTGTATTACAGACAGTGACCATTTTAGGAACGTCTGATATGTATGTGACCACGAATGCACGTATTGCACTGAACTCAGAAGTGGCCCACAATTTCACTTAAACATGTGATGCCTTTGAATGTAAATGGGGAATTGCCTGTATGTCAGTTTTTTATTTTTCAGTTAAGTTATTTGATTTAAGCTTTCTTTTTTGTAAATTTAGTCAGAAAATATATATACTACATCCCTCCTGATGATTCCATTATTGGAAATACATGACAATAGAGGCAGTAGGACTCCAGAGAAACAGGATTCCAGTTCAACAAAGCTGAATGTAGCAATGAAGAAAAAGCAGAATACTTGCACTTCAAAAAATGTCAAAACAGAAAAAACCTTCCAGGTCTGTATTCAATGCATCTTAATATTCTGCTTTATTTAGTTTAGCTATATGCTCTTTGGAAGATTACTTTTTACATTCTTTCCTTTCTGTTTGTATTTAGCAGCTTAGATATAAACAAGGAATTGAGGGTTCTTGATGCAGCTTATTTTCTGCAAGATGCTCATGATGCATCCATTACAACTAAAATTTCAATATTTACCAATGCAAATATGATCCATTGGTATTGAAATATGCAGTGCAAAGATGAAAGCTTCATTTTAAGTCCAGTAGTACCCATGTAGATTTTAGTGCCGTGCCCTCTTTGTAGACTTGGAACAGTGCTGCTGAGGTTTCAGTATCCCACACAGTGCAATGATAATGGTGCACTAGAACCACATTGCAGAAAAACGTGGGCAAGACAGTTAAGAGTAATTCAGATGCTAGCTTCCAAACATGTTATATGTATTACTGTATGTGTACATGCATCTAATGGGTACATGCATCTAACCTCCTGGCCTCAGCCTTAGCATCCATGTGTTGAATGAAATGTCAGGAAGGAGAACCCATCCTTGGAAAACTGTTCACATGTAGGCTCTTCCTCCTGATGTGTTCCTCAAAACAGGCAGGACTAGAAACTATTTGGAAGTCCACTCAGATTTAAGCTGTCAGCAATAAAGTTGTCTATTTGCTAGGAGCATGCATGCACTCTTTTTGTGAATAGAATTTTGAACACACTATCGGTCTTTAAATCTAATCATCATAATCACTTATCATGCATTTCAAGGGCAAAGTCAGTGTACTGGGCACAGCATCTGCATACAGAGGTTTCCTATGGGTTCAGTGGAGCTCTGATTTCCTCCCACCCCAGTAGCGAGAGCTTCTGAATGAGAGGCCTCTCTGTGCCTCCCATATTCACATCCAGCCCTCCCCTTCGGCTCCGGTGCATAAGTAAATTACAAAGAGTGGGGATGGATGCTGGTGTTCAAGACCTCCCTTTATAAGAGTCCTCTGGAGATGGCAGTTGTACCTCCACCTGGCTGGAGTGCCAAGTGTGCAAAGTGGTTCACAGACATTTTCAGTAATGTTCGTTTATATAGTATGAAACCTTTTTTTATTTTTGTTTTTAAATAATAGAGGAATCTATTTAATGGCACCTTGCGGCTGACAATTTAAAAACTTTTTATTTTAAAATAGCATAAGCTTTCATAGGTGACAACCTATTTCATGGAACTGCTCAGCATCTGAAGTGAGTTGCTCCTACAAAGGCCTGTGCCATTTTGTAAAAAAGAAACTTTTCAAAAAAGCTTGGTGCCATCAAACAGATCTTTCTGTATTTGGAGTAATGTGTTTATATTGAACTGTAAAGTCTGCTGGTGTGATTATTCCCACATTCCAGATGAGGGAGCTGAGGCTGAGAATAGGAGCATGTCTTAGGGCCACTTAGTAAAACTGAGAAATGTTGAATTCTTATTGTTAAATGATACATTTTATTTTAAGGTTTGGTTGTGAGGACACTGTCATAAAATGGACTTTCCCTTCTTTGTGCCCCATACTCTCCCTATATCTGCTCCAGAGGGTTCCCCAACCCTATGGAGCAAATTTTCAGGGTGGGGTGGGGCTGCAGGAGAGAGAAGAGGAAGCTGAAATTCTGTCATGCCAGGAGAAGTTACTTTTCCTGTGAGGCAGCCACAATTGGAGTCCATATTTTGCTTATAAACAAAACAAGTTTGATGTGACTTGCAAGTAACTGTTACCTGGACCATGTGTTGCAGGCCAATTGTGAATGGGAAGCTGTTGTTTATGGGAAGACCGAAGATCAGCTTATTATGACTGAGCAAGCAAGAAGATATCTGAGCACCTATACAGCTACTGGCAGCACTTCAAGGGCTCTGATCTTGTGATGGTCCCTAAATGTAGCAATCTACCTTTTTCCTTTATACTACAGACTTTATACTGAGATTTCCCCCCAGTAATGTATGTATGGATACTTTTTTGAGTTGAGGCTGCATTATAAGGGAGAACTTAAGTCTTTTTTTAAACCTTTTTTAAAAGCAAGTTTAATTGGTCTTTTAAAAGACCACTCTAAAGAAAATGGTGAAAGGAATATTTTTTTAAGCCGTTTTTAAAATTCTTTATACATTTCTCTTGTTCTTAAGAAGCTTTTAATGTAGAGTAGGTTTACAGGTACTCAGTGATCTGTAAAAGAAAAACATTACACAACTCCTTGAGAATGCTTTTGCTTAAACGCATTTGTTTATGTAGCAATTTTTATAAACACAAAAGAAAGACTAAAGGAAGAATAGAAAGTTGCACTACTAGAACTAGGTATGCTGCACAAAATTAACTACAGTGTTAAATGTATTTATTTTAGAATGGTACTTCTAATAAGAGTAGACAAAGGGAAGAATTTAATTTTTATTAGGATAAAGCATCAGTATTCAGAAATCTCAAACTGAGACCATTGTTGAATGTATTGTACAGCATGTGGGAGCAGGAAGACTTTTGTAAATTTGGAAGGGGGTTTGTTTTTTAATTTATTTTCATTTTAAAGCTTAAGGCTGCAATCTCACCAAGTGCTCGCATATTCCTGCTGCTTTGCAAAACAACACAAACTCAGGAGGAAGCCAGGACAAACTTGCTCTTGCTTGCAGATTGGAGAGGAGTAGTATCATAACACCCACTTCTCAGAGACAACACCTTTAAGCACTGCTGGCCCTTGCTCCTCCTTTCCATTGTTGTAACCTCAGCCTTATGCAGTGTTTTTATACACAGTCCATTCTGCTAGTTTTTGAGATGAACTACATCCCCTTGTTATCCTTTCCCCATAGAAGCAGCAGTCCTGACCAACTCCTCAGTCTTTTCTTGAATATGAGTCTAAAGCTAACCTGCCAGTTGAGCCCCATTCGCCTTCTAGTCTGTGAAGTCTTTGGGACTGCCTTAATTTTGGTAGGACGCTTAAGAACTTTCCAGTATATATCAGTCAGGGGCATTAAGAAGAAGAAGAAATAAATGTGTATTTTGTTTCTGCAGTGGGATTACTCCTGCAAAGCTCTAACATGGGTAGATTGATAGAAGAGCTCTCTTTAGGTCAGAGGATGTGAGCAGCTTGTGACAGTGAAGAATCAGTCTCTTAAAAGATGATGCTCATATTCTCAGTTGCAGGTTGTGCCTTTTGACAGGGATGATAGCATCTTGCTTCTGGTGGTGACTGTTGATCCTACAAATAGCCCAGGGAAGGGAAGGAGAGCAAGGCCCCAATATCGTATGAAGTATCAGAATTGACTGTGTCATGAAACATTGTACCTTGCAGAAGTTAACAAATGGAAAATGGGAGAGGAAGCTCAGTTGGGCTGGCCTTTTACAGCAGTTGCTCTGACTTGCTCTCAGTCTCCACAAATGCATCATATTTTACCTGAGGAGATAGATTGGAATGGTGGTGGTACCTGAGCTGTCTGTTGGCTAAGGGGTGTCTCTGAAGATATCCTACTATTCCTAATCAAATCAAAGCAGGAATAAAAGGAAGTGGCCTGTGGTATGTCTCAGAAGAAGCACGGTGCAAGGTATAAACACATCTCTGTGTGAAAGAGACTTCCTCTTTTCTGTTTTTTTCCTGAGCTGTGTAAACACTGTGAAAGTGGCAAAAGGGAGAATGAGCATCCTTTCTGAAGGATGGTGGTGGAGGATCAGCTGCTATGGCAGGATGCGTGAAGTATCTGGGTTGCTCTGCGAATGCCAGCCCCAGAAGTGGGTCTATGCAGGCACAAACGATACAAAGGATTGCAGCCTCAGTGTGCAGATATATATATATATGTATGCAGGTTGTCTAGAAGCGGATGTTGTTTTCCTGGTAAATAGCTCCAGCAAAAATGAGAAAGAGCGAATTTTAACCTTGGTGCATGGAATAGCAGTGAGATTGCATGCTGTGAAATACATGAATTTGCATTTCATCTATTCGAGATTGCACTATTCCCTTTTAAATCATGTTGGTCTAATATAGTAGTTTTAAAGTTCAGCTTAGTTATACTACAAATATTCCAGGACCTTGGTTATTAAAGGGATACATTGTGTAGGGACAGAACAAGAGGACATGCTATGTCTCACCTTGTAGCCCTATTTAGGAATCAACACCAATGCATTACATTACACCTCTGAAAGAAATAAGAGTCGGCTCATATAGTTATTTTTCTTGACACAAGCAGCCGTGGACTTTCCTTGGCCACATTTTGTGCTTGCTTAAGTGTGGAGAGATGTTGGTGTGAACTGGGCTGTAGATTGGTTAGTTGCAGTGGTTTCTGCAATTGTGTTCTGGGAGAAGTGCCAACACAGTCACAGAGTTGCTGTTGGCTCTGTCTCTGTACAGCTCAAGTCACCCTCAATTTTCCCCACCTACCCTGTGTGTGGGCCTGCACATCACTAAGGATGATCTATGGTTACTTGCGCTTAGGCTGTGAACTCTTTCTAAAACCATTTATGCCTGCTCTTGGGTGCCTCAACGACCCCATTACAAAACTGTTTAAAATGAAAATTCATTTTCCCCTTAATATTTGTACATGCTTCTAATCTTCACAGGTTACAGCAGTTGCTTCAGTTTACCTGCTTTAGACATTTGCACTTATTTATGTCTGATTTGAAGGAATGTCTTAGTTTTGCTTGTTGTAGCTGTTGTTTTTTTTAGTTAATTTCTTGCGAAACATAATGGTGTGCTGTCAACCTTAATACTGACAGGAAAATAGAATTGTGTACTGTAGGTGTTATCTATTTATAAATCTGACACTCTTCCTCTCCACTCCTGGGTGTGCTGCTATAGATACTAGCAGAATCTGCTTGCTGCTATGAGAGATGGAAAGAGCGAGCATCATATGCACTGTATGTAAAATGACAAATAGAATGATGGCATGTTCTGAAGCTAAACTGTTATCAACTGTTGCTGTGCATGGAGAAACACAATTACCAGAAAGAAACCTGATACCACATAACACCAAGAACTCTAAAAATGATATTCCTTATTTTAATATGGTGTGTGTGTGTGTGGTATGTAAAGCAATCTCTGACGTTAGCATACTTAAATACAGCTTAAGGCCCCGTATCATAGTTATTTATTTATTATTTTAAATGGATATTTATATATAGGAATATTCACCTCGCTGCCTTTAATAGGCACTCAAAGTTTTTATCCAGTTTTAAAACTGTTAGCGTTTTTTCTGATCAGCTCTGTTGATAAGAGGATTATTCTTCCTCTTCAAAATGTGAGAAGCCAGTTTGGGATTCCCTTTGGCATTGTTGGTTTTGGTGTGTTCTCTCTTCAGTATGTTTCTTTAGAAGATTCCCCACCTGAAGCACAAAGGAGTTAAGTGATGTGATTAGCATAGTAAGACTGTAATTCAGAGAACCATTCCTACCGTGGCTTTTGACTTTTGCCGTCTTTTTAATCACAGCCTACCCACCTCAAGGCCATGTGGCAAGCTACAGTCATGATGGCTGTTTTAAGTAGTATGTGTGTGTTAGCCTCTTGTCCTTCTGGGTATACACAAGCGCTTAGCTGTATTTAAAATGTGTTCTCTGGATTACAACCATTATGCCAAGATCCAAAGAGTGTGTGCACCAGTGCTGCCTGGATTTTCCAATTCTAGCTTTAGTTTCTTGTGCTACGTTGGAAGATTCTCTGGAGAGTCCCTGACTTTCTGGAGTAGTTCTTGGGAGGACAAGGCATAGCAGGGGACTGGTTTGTGGGGGAACAAAGTTCTGCAGTGTACACACAAACACTGCCTGCAGCTCTTTGGGCTGACTCCATGTCTTCATCTATTATGCTTAAAAGATTTGCTGCTTTGCAGGAGGTATGCAAATTATTTGTATTTTTCTTTTTAAATGGTACCAAAGCCTCCAGTACCAAGGTTTAACATAGGTCTCTGGTAAGTAGTACAAACTGGAGCTGGTATTGGTTGAATCTTTCATTTAATTGCTTTCGTGTTGCTTTTAGCAAAAAGAAATAAATAAAAGGTTTTGAACCTTTGCCATGTTAGATATATTTTGATACTTTTGCAGTCTTAGGTGCATTTGCAATTTTTAAAATATATATATATATAAGTAGAATACTGTATACCTGCAGCAGCCAAACATGCATGTTGGAAAATGACAGCATCTGTTCATATTTACGTTTCTAAAGTTTTGACTCTAATTATAAGATGAATATCTTTGACGTTTTGTTGTGTTTTGTTATTTTACTGCAGATTTTGTTTCACTTAAAAGAATCTTGCATACAAAGCAGGAGACCTTAACACAGAAATAAAAACATTTATGTACATATCTACTGGACATTTACTTCTGGGAAATAAGTGAAATCTGTATTGATACTTTGTTTGATTCCTAAATGTGAATCATGCTTTCATATAGAGAATTACCCAACATTGGAACAAGTTACTTTAAGCTTTTTGATAGTATGGAGACTTACTGGAAATTCCATTTTTTTGGCTTGCTCTGGGCTATGGGGGCTTCTTCTGACAATGGCAAGATTGGTATTGAGTGTGGAGGAAAGGATCAAGGAAAGCTAGATTGAGGACGTTGGGAGAAAAATTGGGCAACATATGGGGCATGTACAGCAACAAACTAAGATCTCAGTTGACGGAATGAGGGATAAGAAAATGGAAGCCAACAGATAGTGTTTATAGATGTCAGTTGGGGATTTAAAATGGGTTAACAGATGGGTGAAGAGAGTTGGTGCGTCTGTAAGAGAGACGGTGTGGGGAGCAGAAAGATATCAGAAGACAGCCAAATCTGAGATACATTCAAAAGAATGAGAAACAAAAACTTTGCAAAGCAGAACAAAGAAAGTAGATGAGGTAAAATAAGATGTAAATTGAATGAAATAATGAAATTATTTGTCTTTGTTTCTCTTTGAAAAGTTTAAATTTGACTGGTAGTTATTTGACATTTTGTATGCTTGTGTGACATACACAAACCTCTGAAGTCTAAAAGCCTGTGTATTTGTAAAATTTGATACATACCCCATAAAATATATCCATCCCCATCTTTGTTCAAGATACAGCAGGTCTTGTATGAGTGGAGAGCATTTTTTTAAAAAGCAATACGTCACCAAGCTGCTTGGATTGATGCATATATTTTCAGGTTGCAAAGAACAAAACAAGGTACTTTCCAGTTTCCAGATGTTTCAGTCATCTATGTCTGATTCATAACTGGAAGTCTGCCTTTATTTATATATAAAAGTCAACAAAAGTTTATGAATGAGTTCAGTGTACTCAGAAGCACTAAGAAGAGCAGTATGACAGTGTTCCCAGAGCCTGCCACACCAGAAGTGGACCAGATCAACTTGTGAGTGTTATCTTGGCCTGCCTTGGCAAACAGCCAGACGTTGTGTATGCTAGACACCAGATGGCATGCCATTATGAGCGTGACAAGTGGGTCATCTGGCACGCTCTTTGTGGGATTGTTGTTACTGCATAATTTTTGGCGGGAACAAAACTTCCTTTTCCCTTTTTGAAAAAATTAACTGTTTCAACAGCTAATAGGTTTTTTACTGGAAGTATGCTCCTCCGTGTTCCTTCTCCACACATATTCATATTCTCTCTTTTTTGTGAACGGCTGTAGATGGAATACCTTACCTAACAATAAAAATTATATTTCATTTTGTCCATGGTAATATTTTTGATGTTTACATAATATATCTGTGCTGGAGAAACATCTGTATCTTCTGATCACTGAGTCTGATTATGCACCTTTTCCACAATAAAACATTAATCTGGTTCTTCTAAAAGTGTTAAAATGTTACTAGCCCTAAGCAGTAGGGTAAGGGAGGGTTTTATATCTAATTTTAAACTGTGTGCAGCTGTTCCTTTTCTTCAGTCATATAGGGAAGAAAGTTATTAGGCAGAAATTCAACAAGTGCAACTTGCTTATCACATGGGGGTGAAGTAATGGAGTGGTTTTTGCTTTTTTCATATGCTGAATTTTTGTCATGCATGGGAGCCTAGCCAGGTGAAAAAGAGAGAGCGAGGGCAATCCTAGCTGAAGCAGATGTTAGTAGTCAAATGTTGTCAACTGAAAAAGCATGAAAAAGCTATTGTCACACCTCAAGGTGAAAAAGTTAACTTTTATGATGGCAGCAAGGAAAAGCTAAAAAGGCGTGCGCACCCCCACCGACCTGAGAACCTAATACGTAAGAAGCTGAGCTGTGGATTATTAATTTTTTAAAAAACAACAGCAACCTGTAAATGTTGCTGAGCCATCTCAGAAGTGCTGTGACCCTGCCTTTAAAAGTTCACTGCACAGCTCTGCCTTGACAGCTCAATTCACGCAACAAGCTTTCATGTCATTTCCTTTTGTCATAATGACTACAGAAAGGAGGACGAGGAAAGAAGACACCACCTGCTAAGGCCTTTCACAGCAAGCAGAAACTTGTGACAACCAACCTGGGTCCCCAGAGAGTCCCTTCTTTGCCAAAAAGCATTCAACCAATTTGAAATGATCTATGTTTCGCCAAAAGTTCCAGATGCTTTTTCTTCCTCGTGTTTATTCAGCGAGGGGGGAGGGATGCTATTAATATTACTTTTGCGTGTGTGCGCTTCTAGGGTTAAATTTTTAAATGAGGGAGTCAACTGAGTTTCTTAGTGAACTGAAGGAGTGGAGCATTGTTGGAGCATGTGTCTCATCACAGCAAGGATATTCTGATACACAAATGCTTGCATTTTCTTGTGAGAAGCTCAGACACTGACATTTTTCAGAGGTATGTATATTTCCTCTCTATTTTGCTACGGCTCCCAATATCTGTACCAACAAATTGAGTGCCAGTGGGCTTTGAATCCCTATTGACCTGCTAGATTGGAATAGACAAAGTGTGGTCATAGACCTCACCCTAGGAAGCTGTACATGTTTTCCGAGCTGACATACATAATGACAACAAATCCCTACCTCTGCTTCTCCAGTTCAACCACCCTTAGCTGTCCAAAGGTCTCATGCTCTTTCAAAAGACTGCACTTTGTCCCATATGTTTGGAATTGCTTCCCAAATCACTTGTGTGATGAAATCCTTCCTCGAAACCCACCTTTTCCATTTAGCCTTTGGTACAACCCCTACTTCTTATGTAACTTAAGATTAAGTGCATATACTAAGCGCACAAGAAATGATAACTCATTCTCATTTTGGCCCTACCTCTCCTCCTGTCTCCCTTGTGCTGAATTTTAGATTGTAAGCAAGTTGCTTTGAGTCAAAAGCTGACCTCTTGTATTCAGAAAACACTGCACACTGATGTAAACCTTAAATAACTGTATCTGTATGTCAATTATAATAGCAGCTGCAACTTTTAGTTCTAGATGTCAGCTTGGGGTGGAAATGGATGTCTATTTCCTGGCCTGGTTGGCATGTAATGTTAAACCATAGCTAATGTTTAGCTACATGTGAAGTCAGGCTCATGGTTTTTTTGCTCCAAACTAACCATGGCTAATCCTTTACCTGTCTACTCAGAAGTAAGTCCCATTTAATTCAGTGGTACTTACTCCCAGGAATGTGATTGCACCGTACAATTATTCTCATCTCCATCCTCTGTGGTCTCCCCCTGTTAAAGTCTCGATTGTAAACTGGCATAGAGACCACTCATGCTGATTGTTACTCTGCCAAGCGCCAAGAGCATTGACAGTACTTAATAAATATGACCGCTACTATAGATTTTTTGTGAAGTTATTTCATGAATGGGTTGTTTATCAGATTACAGCATTCATCCTGGCTGCAGGTGAGTTCTTCAATGCCTCAAATAACTCCGTCAGATCTACACAAGAGCCTTTTGTGCTTGTCTTTTCAATATCTCCATTAAACGTGATTAAGTGTCTGCCAGCTAATGATTTCTCTGAACAATATGACAGCTGCAAGGCAGGTGAAATGTAGATTTTACACCAAGTGCCCTCAAGCCACCTCAAAAGGAATTAAGCTTTATTCCATCGGAATCGTGTTTAATTTGGTTGGTCCCTTGCCAGACTTGGTGCCCTCCTATAACCGACTTCCTTTCTTGCCAGTGGCCTATAATAACAAGAGGGGTGGAATTTTATTTGAGACAAGTGAAACCTAGACTGGTTGGTAGGCCAGGTGTTGGGACTTATCTGACCGTGTTGGAGTGATGGTACCTAACTGCCATGTCTGAGGTGGTTGTTTCAGTTGTGAACTGAGAAGGGAGACAAAAATAACTGCCTATTACCAACTTGGATGGTGGGGATACTGGATTTTTTTCTGCTAACTGTCATGTTTCTCATTATGCTACCCATGTGGGAAGGATCAAAATCCTACAGGGTTGTGGGTAGGTGGGTGTATAGACATTATCTCTGTATATAATCTTGGAAATTAATGGACCTGTCTCAATGATGCCCTTTAATTTCAGTGGATCTATTCTGAGTAAAGCTTGTCAGCTTGTCAGCTGTATACGACCCTTGGATCACTAACAGCAAAAACGGATTCTTGTATGACACAGTCATCTATTTATTAATGGGCCATAGGTTGCATAATGAGATAAATTTTGCAGAACTCAGTTGGGTTAGTGTTATAGGATTGAGGTGAGGCTCAGTGTCTACTTGGGATTCCCTCTACCCTTGTGACTGATTCTATAGTTGTGTGACTGGAAACTGCAAAAAGAAAAGGACTGCTAAAACTGAAAACCAGAACATTAAGTAAATAGCCCAGGCCAGGTTGGGTTAGCATCTACTTTTGTAGTGTAAGCTAGGACAATATCGTTTCACAAGAACTAAATAACTAGACATAATTCAAGAGCAGCAAAAATAACATGTTTGTCTGCTTACCCCAACTTACACACAGCTGTAGGTGAGTTATCAATGTGTAAGTGTGTCAGAGTGGATGTGAGTAAGAAGACAACAGACAGCATTGGAATGGAGTCCGAAAACACAAGGCCTGATTTTGCTCTCCGAGAATCGAAGGCTGCAGAGTTCCACTAAAAATACGATGGGGAGCAAAATCTGTTGGAGTCAACCTCTCTGTGTGTACACACTTAAAACCTTGTGACCTTATTCAAAGGAAACCAACCCAGGCCATGACCTTGACCTGCTGAAAGCTCTCCCTGCTCAGAGATCATGGCGTGTGTATCATCTGGGGGATCAAAAACATATTTTCAGAGTATATTACAGGGGAGAGAGCACATCAGGAATGGCCAGTGCAGGTCAAAGCAATTTCAATAGAGTGCTGCTGATCCTACCAACTTTTAACAAGGTGTAGTAAAATGTTTACTAAGTTCTACTCAAAGATAAGTGTGTGTGTTAGACAGACAGACAGACGGGATGGTATCTTTGGTAGTGGGTCGCTTTGTGTGTCAAATCCTGGTTATAACTGTCCAATGTGCACCATAACTATGAAGCTTTTCCTGCTCAATGCCATCAACTTTACTTTGTGAGTTACTGAGTTTTTGTGGCATACTCTTTTATCTTCCAGCACTCTGTCTGTAGATGAAAGTAGTTCTCCAAGACTACAGAAGTTGGCTGTCCCCAAACTTAAATGATCCTATCCCAATAAAAGGCATTTCCTTTTTGAAGAAAGACACATTAAACTAAATTGAGCCTGATATCTAGAACATGGTATCTAGGACTTATCTGGTACCTGGACTTTTTATTATATTGTGGTACATATTATATCTGGTACCTTGCACTTTTTATTGTGGAATTGTAGGAATTTTGTGTGATGTACTGTTTTAAATTTGGCTTTTCATTCATTATATCTGTTTGTAATTTATTTATTTTTTGGTACAAACTGAATAGCAAATGGTGGTGGTGGTGATAATGCCATGCCATTTCTATTTTAGTGAATGGGTGTGCTTTCGTAAATTCACAAGAGTCATGTAGTTAGCATATATATTCACTTGCTTGTAATTCACTCTAAACATCAGTGTCTGGAAGGCCATAAGTTGCCCATCCCAGTAAAGCCTGTTGAGGCTCCTTGATTACGTAGAGAAGATTACCTGGTCTAAGAGATGAGTTACAATAGGTTCAGAGCAAGCGATGCAACTGAAGCTCAGTCAAGTCTGCCCTTCTGTACATGACATATTTAGGCTGCCAGGGGCCTCCTAGTACTATCCAAAAGCCCATGGTTGATAACTACAGTATATCTGCCTCCAGCAATTAATGATTCCGACCGTAATGAAAGGTGGTCTGAACTTTCGTCTTGGCTTCATGACCTTCAAACAACTAACCCAGGACTTCCTCAAATCCTCTTAGGTGACTTTAATGCAAGAATAGGTCCCAACGACGATGCTATATTATCTTCCGCAGCACTTCTGGACAATCCCCTGCAGCACCCCTGGGGAAATAGATGCTCTCTTGATCCCATAACAAATGCGTCGGGGAGGCTGATGGCCCAATTGGCCATCGAAAACGATCTTTGCATCGCAAATGGCAACGTTACTCCCTTGTCCTCGCAGCAGTTAACGTGCATCTCTTCCCGGGGGACCAGTGTTGTCGACTACATTCTATTGACGCCGGAGCTATTCTCAATTTCTACAAAAATGGAAGTGGCTGAATATTTTGGTGGTGACCACCTTCCATTGACTTTAATGTTAAGCCTAATAGAGCCATTCTCAGTCCCCTCGAACTATAGTTCCACCGTACAAAGCTACCCTGTATATAAAACAAAGAAATGGACAAGCC